CAAAATGAGCTTGTGTTCCATGGGGAGTGGGGGCAGAGCCATGTTTAAGATTTATTGTTCCAAGAATCTCATTTAAAGGAACACTGCAAACATTGCAAACAGATGGAAAAGGAGAAATCTTAAAGCGTATGGGAAGTGAGCAAGGCATTGAGACTAAATAGGCTTGTGTGGAGTAAAAAACAGTGCAGACTGGAAGGGCTGAAAAAGCCTATTTCTGTGCTGTAACATTCTATGTAATCAAACAGCATTAAATAGATTAAATGATCATTCACCTCAGGGTTGTGTGGGAGCTTACTGGCAAATTGTTTCCATCTTCAGCTACAAAAATAGTCGCTACACTTGAAATTCATTACTTGTGAAGGACTTTCAGATGTTTGATGTGATAACTTTTTTTAAAGAGAGGAATTGAATCCTGGGGGTGAGGTCACCCTATCATTATTACCTCAAAACACACAGAGACAAAACAATTGTTTTCTCTACATTCTAGACATGCGTGCTATTGCTAAGGATTGCCGGGACTTATTTTATTGCTATTAATAACTCTGGTTAATGTCATCGCTGCTGAGTAACTGTTCTTGTGCGCAGCCCATTTCCCCTCCCTCAATATCATTCCTAGAAATGAAGTCAGTGTTAAAATACGACCTTTGCACAGCAACCAGTTCTCAATCACTTCAATCACCAATAATTCTCAGGACGAAAATTCCATCATAGCACAGAAGTGTGAGACAGCATTGTCACCATCCTCCTGCCTCCAGCTCAGACACTCCCTCAACTTTGAAGTATGGTTCTGCTAAAGACTTCTGATGCCACCTTACTCTAATTGTTACAGTTGAAGTCATCTTAATCTCCAACGACATAACTGCATTCTAACACTCAATGTTCAGTTAGTAACTTTTACTTTGGGATTTGAAGGTTGTAGCTTAGAAGCTGTATATTCCACATCAGAATCTGGGGTTTTAATCTTCAATTTCAGTGCAATATTTGGCAAGGGTTATGTTGTTATAGATGATTCAATATACGGATGAAATATTAAATCAAGGCAATTTTGATTGATTGAATAGCAACTGATCATACAGTTGCTCCCCCAGTACTACTGTACTGGATATACGCAGTGAAAGCCATACACAAGTGGCTGGAGTTGGGCTGTCAATCAGTGAGGGGGCGGAGGAACTGGAAAGAAACAAGGGAGGGAATGGCAGGAGTCAAATCGCTATTGATTGACAGCTGGACAGTCAGGACATCTTTGACAATAATTACTTGAAATGTTTGAGACTTACAATGTAAAAGGCACTATAAAATAGCCAAAGCAAATTCAATTCATGTAGTTTTAAATAAATAATGGTTTAAAATAATGTCTAAAATGGAAGAAATAGATCACAGCTATGAACTCACTGCTTGTATAAATGTTTTTTTTTAAAAATTAGAAGCTGAAACTTCTGTTGTTTGCTGCTGTCAGGAGATTTCCAGTGTCTCAGAGCTGTAATCTTTGCACGAGAGTTTTAATGTGCGTTAGTGATGTAATTGCAGCACTATTAGCAGGAAATAATTTGCAGATTACAGGAAAGTTCTACAAACTGCATCCTATAAACCATAATTGTACGTAAACAGTAGTTATGCCAAACACGCAGTATCTGAGTAGTATTGTACTTGAAATCGGCAGTTTTGTGTTAAGACATACCACCAATGCTTGCTAGCACGATACAAAAAAAATCCTCAATCCCTAAATAATGCCTTTTTTTAAACATTCCACAGTCTGAGAGAACGCCAGAGGTCGTCCCTTATTGCAGCTGTGCAGAATGGATGCTGGCTCCAGTAAGTTGCAATGCAATGATATTGTGGAACTCAAAACTGATGAAAATAAAATAACATTAAATGCAATGAATTATAGCTGGCTTCTATACAATTGCAAAATCATTCAGTTAAAATTTGTATTGAGCCTAAAGGTGTAATGAAAGAAGTGCATTGTGTAGCTATAATGATCAATTCTGGACACTAGATTTTGCCACTGTATTCACACGGTGGACTATTGGCACCTAGTGGTAGAATGTACGAACTGCAGCAGTACAGCACTGATCAGTTGATCTCTGAGCAACAGCATTTTTGATCTGATTCTCAACTGCTGTGGCTGGCAAAAAGCTCAACTGTTGATTTTAACGTTGTAACCTAGACCACTGAGATTACACTGGCCAACACCAGTTATATCTATTTCTACATCTTCTGTGTAAGGCTCAAGGCATGCTTTTTGAGAATTAACCCTCTTTCCTTAGGATACTATTTGGCACAAACTGGAGATCTCAATCATACTTCTGGAAATAACCACAAGGAGTCACAAAGGGGAAAACACTGCACTCGCCAATGAAAACGGTCAGGAATAGCAAACAACAGACTTGGGGATTCATGGGAAATGAATAAGCAACAGAGAGTGCAACATGTATGCCAAGTCATTTTTAATTTTAAAACAAACCTGAACTTTGATAAGATCATTTCCTAACTTTTTTTACTGAAACAGAAATCAATCAAAACCAGGAAGGCATATGTAAAATAGAATACGTAAAATAGACTTTAGACACAAGTCTAAAGTCAAATCCTTGAAGGTAGCAGGACAGGTAGATAAGGCTGTAAAAAGGGCATATGGGATACTAGGCTTTATAAATAGGGGCATAGAGTACAAGAGTCAAGAGGTTATGATTAACCTATATAAAACACTGGTTAGGCCTCAGTTAGAATACTGCGCCCAATTCTGGGCACCACACTACAGGAAGGATGTTAAGGCATTGGATTGGGTGCGGAGGAGATTTAAGAGGATGGTACCAGGAATGAGGGACCTTGATTATGAGGAAAAGCTAGTGAGGCTGGGATTATTCTCATTGGAGCAGAGAAGGTTACGAGGAGACCTAATCGAGGTCTTCAAAATCATGAGGGGATTTGATAGGTTAGAAAGGGAAAAACTGTTTCCACTGGTGGGTGTGTCGGTGACTCGAGGTCACAGATTCAAAATAGTATCTAAAAGAAGCAGAGGGGAGGTGAGAAGAAATTTTTTCACGCAGTGAGTTGTTTGAATCTGGAACGCATTGCTTGAAAGGGTGTTTGAGGCCGATTCGATAACTACTTTTAAAAACGTGGTGGACGGGTATTTGAGGAGGACGGGTTTGCAGAATTATGGGGAAAGGACTGGGGAGTGGGATTGACATTAATTGCTCTATTCAAAGAGCTGGCACAAACTCGATGGGCCGAATGGCCTCTTTTTGTGCTGTACGATTCTATGATTCTATGAAGTATTTTCTGCGAATATTTCTGGGTCTTTCATTTCCAAATTCATACCAATAGAAAAAATGTGTTTAAGCAATACGAATATACGTTTATTGTGACATAAGAAGTAGGAAAAAATGCAGTGCCTAGGTTATCTAATTCAAGAGGAGTTATTTCATGCAGTGAGTAATAATAATCCTTGCATTTGATATAGCACTTTTCACGTCTGCTAGACGTCTCAAAGCGCTTCACAGAATATACTGTTAAGTGAATTGACTGTGTTGACTGTATATTTGTGGGTTAAATGCGGCAGCCAATTGTGCACAGCAGTGTCCCACAAGCAGTCGTGGATTGAGTGACCAAATTATTATTGTTTTTTTTGAATGATTATTATCCCCGGAAAAGTGATCCGCCAATCGACTAACTACCAGGCTCCTACTCACTGCTAGGTAAACAGAGGCATGTGGAGTAAGGAAACTTGCCCAACAATTCCCCCTGCCGGGAATAGAACCCAGGTCTATCGCCTGTGAGGCGAGTGCTCTAACCACTGAGTTACAGGACTCCACAGTGAGTAGTGAGATTGTGGAACTCGCTGTCTGAAGTGGTGGTGGAAATGGGGGTCAGATAGTGTAGATGTATTCAAGAGGAAGCAAGACCTTCACATGAGGGAGAGGGGAGTAAGGAATGGGTGAAGACTCATGTGGAGTATAAACATGGCCACAGACTGGTAGCCTATTTCCATGCTATACATTCATTGTAATCTTTGTAGATATACATAAAGGGAAAGAAAAACTAGAGTGAAAAAGATGAAATATTGGCAGTTATGTAAAAACCTTGCCAAGACTGGGCTCTAGTCAAGCCGGGATTGATAGTTAACAGAATTTTGTTCTATGGGGCTGGCATCACAATAATACACATCATTCTGCTACTTCTGTGTATTCAGCTGGTACTGAATTTTGAAAGAGAACAACAGCTCATAATTGGCACCCGTGTATCTCAGTTAGTTAATAAAGTACTGGATTGGAGTCAAGTGAGCTCTGGATCGGAATCCTGATGGCATAACTCTCTTTCGAAGATAATAAAATCTATACTATAACTAAAGAAATTATCTTCCGTGGGAAATGGAATGAAATGGAGATACACAATGGCTTAAAAATATGTAATTCCCATCATTTGAATTGAGCTGCTCACTGACATAGAGTACAATTGTTGTTCAGTTTTATGTGAAGCCTGAGCAAAGCAAACCCAAATCAGATTTTTCTACCAGGTAGAAGAGGTTTAACATGACTTTTAACTTTAATTGAATAGAGGAAAACCACACTGAAAATAGCAATTCCACACACAAAAGTCATTTTAAAACACAAAATAAAGTTCCTAAGTGAAAACTATTGGGATTTAGTATAGGATTAGCTGTGGCATTCAGTAAAACCCTGGTAACAATCAATCACATGCTCAATGGTACTGATTGAAACCAGCTTGTTTTCCCTGGAATATGGCAATAACACTCCTTAAGCGAAACACACTGTAAGTATGAAATGGACACAAATCTGGAATTTGGCAGGCATGTCAGGAAGTTGCTTTTGTAAAATGATGGTACTGTAGAGATTTCAAACCATAGACTGTGCTTTGGCATGATAAAAAATGCTTGCTATGCAACTGTGCCCTAAACTGGATGTTATTAGACGTTGATTCATGAGTTTTAAACATGCCATGGGGAAGTCTTTTCAGTTTGTCGAGAGATCAGTACATACCACTTGTGGCATTCTGCACTTAAGGAATTCCGCTGAAGGCCAGCTTTCGCCTCCTCTTTCCCTAAGTGAGAAAAAAAAAGGTTATAGACATTTATCAGGCAGTTTAACAGCACATTACAAGCCTACTCACCACTCTCATATTTGTTAAAATTCAGAGAATGCCAGTGGCTCCACAGTGGAACATGCAAATAACTAACCCTGAGCAAACTGCTTTTGCTTTCTCAACAGGCTCCCAGTTTTCAGCTCCACTCCGACTAATCACAAATGAGACAACACTGAACAATATGCTAAGTTCAGGTTGGACTGGATAAAGTTTTGAAGCAACAGAATATTGATGTTAAGTGACTGCTGTGAATGGTGTGATGGGGGTATGGAGTTTCGTGCGGGTGAACATCCAGGCGGCGGAGTTTTTAATTAATGAGTTATGTGTACGGTGGTGCTGGGCAGACCAGTGAGGAGGGCATTGGAATATTCCAGCTGGGAAGTGATGAAGGGTTTCAGCTGCGTCAGTTGTGAGGTACGGACAGAGGCTGGCAATGTGGCAGAGGTGAAAAAAGGGGTTCTTGTCCGGGAATGGATGTGTGGTAGAAAGGAAAGCTGGGGATTGAACCTGATGCCTAATTTGCACAATACACAGGTTCGGAGAGTCTGAGGGAGAGCCTGAGGAGTTCAGACCCGCAGAGACGTTCACGGGAGCCAAAGATTATTACATTGAAAGAAACATAAGCAAAAATCTATAGAAATTGCTATAAAACAGGGTTCTATGTCTGGAGTGGTGACCATCTGCAACTGAATCCAAACAAAAATCTCTTTGTTCTATTCACGCAGACAGTTTTATTATTTCATCTAAATCCAATCAGCATGACACACTACAGCTGTATTTTAATCTCTCCATGAACTAAGCAGAATTACTGTACAATAAAATGACCATTCCGAACATACATTGTTAAGCACTGTCGCTACATACTATGTCAGAGGACGTAGTTTGTATGGAAGGAGTAAAGTAGTTCATTGTGACAGATGTCATACAAATCAAACATATCAGTGTAAAATTTAGCACATTGTTTATATATTGTGGTTTTGCTGTTTTCTATAAAATTATTTTTTAAAAGAAAAATAGTGTCTTTTTATTGCTGTTTTTAATCATGGTTTATTGACTTTTCTGAGCATTTAGCATATTAAGAACACTTTACCAAATATGTAGACCACCAACCATAATGGATTTCTAGTTTTGTTCAACATGGTTCCAATAGGGGAGTCTGTTGGCTTAACACACTAAAGAGCCGCTGGATGTAGGTTATGTATTCTCATTGCTGATTGTTCATAGGCAACAACAACATATTTATAGAGGGCCCTTCATGTTGGGAGATCACCCCAAGTAATATTTCATATGTCATTACAAATGCAACAATGTCACTCTGCTGCAGTTGGCACAACGGCTTGCAAGCCAAGAGCAAATGACTGCCGTAGTCTCCTGATCTCAACCAGCAGCTCGGGTGCGGATCCCTGACTGTCCAGCGCCTTGGAAAGTCCTCCTGATGTGAAAGGCACTATACAAATGTAATTTGTTGTTGTAGTGGAAATTACCGTTAGACACAGTCGTGAAATAGGTGAAGTGACAGTGGGGAATTCTCTCAACTGAGCTATCATAAGCTACTTCAAGTATTAAATTATTCCTACCCTACACTCCTATATGGGACTGTTTAGTGATAGAAAGACATTCTAAAGAGAGGTCACTTTCCAGCTCAACCCATTTGAATTGCTGGTTGGTTTCATGGGGTGAACAGATTGTTTCAAACTCTTTGGGGGAAAATGTGACCAGGCTAATTAACAACTGAAACAGGTTACCATGAGGGATGACTGAGGACCTCTTTTAAAAAAAAGCAGCTGAATGCTAAAATGGGAAAACGGTAGGGTGATTGTTCTGGAAGGATGAGATCAGATGAGCCGAAGAGCCTTCTTTACCCGAACAAATCTTGTGACCTTTGATCTAGCGAAAATATGCGCAGTAAATCACAAGGAAAACAGGCCAGTTTAATGCTGAAACATTGGCTTTACATTGCAATTTGGGATCCAAAAAAAACCTTACTTCGGCTCAGATTAATTTTGGTTCCAGCAAGCTGTGGGCCAAATTATTGCACTCTGCTCTAACACATTTGTTGCACAACATAACGGCAGGATATTTAATCGGACATCTTTCCACTTATGATACATGTTGATTACCAAGAAATGACAATATCTCATTCATCATGCTTAAAAGTTTTCATTAAAAGACAAATACCCCTGAATAAGAACTGAATGAAAATTTCTGGAAAGTAACAGGGAATCTGGGCAACAAATCCCCTTTAAAGGTCCAAATAGATGCTCTCCTGTAGCTCGATGGGTTTTAATGAGGCAGAACTTGAGCCATGCCAGAAAGATGCATACAGGGGAAGCCGGTTAAACCGGACACATCGGGACAGACATTTTGTCCTGCTTAAGAGGTGTCCGAGCGTAACAAAAACACCATTCCCGCACAGCAGAGCAGCCTTTTACTCATAAACCCTATCCAGAGACCCCTGCGGGGATGGTAATTATGTGGATGGAATTGTGTTTGAGAGAATACAGAATTGGTGAGTGCAGAATTGGTTTGGTGTCTCTTTGTATAGACTGTACAGCACAGAAACAGGGCATCGGCCCAATCAGTCCATGCCGATGTTTAAACGTCATATGAGTCTGCACCCATTACTCCCTTCTATATATAATACATCCTTCTATTCCCTTCTCCCTCATGTATACTATCTGATTCAACCCCCACTTCGGGTAGCAAGTTCCATTTCTCACTATCCTCTGCGTGAAGAAGTTCCTCCTCAAGTTTATTCTCTACCCTGCTGGATATAAAACCTAGGAACCTACTGGCACTTTTTATGGCCTTATCTAACTGTTGTTACTTTTAGAGATTTGTGGATCTGAGTCAGGCCAGGCTGAGAAGATACCCTTAACTCCTATTCTTTGCTTTTGTTTTTCTAACCGTTCTATTTATGGATAGAACTCTGTAAAGGCAAGAGCGAAAACATAGAATAAACACATTAGCTTCAAATTCATAAGTCTTTAAATAACCATCATGAATTTTCATGAATTGTAATAGAATGGAGCACATTTCTCCATATGGACGCACCCCACTTACTTCATCCCAGAAAGTATTGGGCATAGGTCGGCAAGAGTCAAGACTTGGGAACCCCAGTTTGTGTTGGCGTATGCAGGAGTTTAACCAGCTAAAACTGCATAACTTGCCATTGAAAGAACTATCTAGCAACCTTCCTGCTGCTTGTCCAGCTAAGACCACATACCAGTTAGGGCTTTAGCTTGCAGGGTTATTCCATGGGTAGGATAGAACTTACCAAGGGGGAAGCTGAAAGAGATCCAGGGGCGTTAGTCTACTTGTCACTTAATGTGTCAAAACAGCGTGATGCAGCAATAAACAAGGCAAACAGATACTGGGCTATGTGGCTAAATCAGTTGAGTTAGTATCCCCAGATGTCATACTCTTGCCAACTTTCTGGCATTAGGTAAGCAGAATTGTCTCTCCAGAGAAAGATTGCGAATTCCATTCGAACCACAAGAATTCCCATGTGCAGGTGGGATACATGAAACTCTCAGTCTGGTTTGGGATACTGTTAAGCATTGTAATGCATTTCTGCATGTGTCAGATACATGGCTGACTAAAGAGGTTTGATGCTTTAATGGGAACACGGTACGGTGGGTATTCTGGAAGGATGAGATCAGATGGGTTGAAGGGCCTTGTTCATTGGAACTAAACTTGTGACCTCTCCACAATGTTTGACTAACTGAGACATGATCAGATAAAAAATTAGGAAGACATGCTCAGTTTTGAAACTAGAATACTACAGTCAGGAGCTGATAGCCACTAATTATACAAATAGGTATTCTCTCCCCCTGGCCTAGTACAAATCCTCCCATGTACGGTCGTCTGTTGTACAGTATTGTCCTTGGGACTTCTGATGTAGTTTGGACCCATGTTCTCCCAACTCCTGAAGGTTGATTTCCACTCTTCCTCCAGGTAAGTTGGGCCTCGTGGGATCGCTCTGGTCCTTCACAGAATACTGTCAATACAGAGATTTTACTTTTGACCTAGCTCTGCAACTTGTATCTTTCTCTTTTGTATAAATAGCTGGAGATATATGTTATCTGTTTTTGTGTATGATTAGTGGTTATAGCTCCTCACTATAGGATGTGTCGATCCACTATAGGATTCCCTCAAAATTGAACTCTGCCCATATTGGATGTTTCATGTTATTATATTCAGTATTTGGAAACTGAAAACGTTTTTTTTTAAAAAGTAGAATAATAAGATCATTTGTCATGAAAATGGGATTTTCATCAAGCTCAGGCCCTTTCAACATGAGATTGAAGCAAGAGTTTTAGATGTTTTCCTCTGTATTCAATCACAGCGTGCTTTGTGATGTTAATAATATGACACAGACTGGTTTCTGAATCCAACTCTAATCACTGGAAGAACACATTCTCCTGAAACACCATCTGGGTTGCTCCCTCCTTTCAGTTGTGGAGTCATTGAGGAATTGTGGTCTGGCAATATTTTATTAGGTTTCTGTTCTAAATGGAATTTATTTTATTATTATATATATTACATTGACACTGCCCAGAAGTGTAAGTAAAACATGAGAAACCAAAGGCTTCTGTTAACGGAATCATATTCTAATGATAGAATCAGTCTGTTTGAATAATAGCTCTCCTAAGTGCATTTGCTTAGGATCATCCAGAACTCTGCAGCCCAGGTCCTCTCCCACACCAGGCTCCGCAACCCTATCGCCCCCATCCTCGCCCAACTCCACTGGCTTCCCATCACACAGAGGATACAGTTCAAGATCCTGGTCCTCAACTTCAAAGCCCTCGCTGGTCTTGCGCCCCTTCCCTTGCCTCCTTAAAAATCCATCACAAGACCCTCCTCTTCGACCATGCCTTCGATTACCCTCCTTCCCCCACCCTCCACCCTCTCTAATCCTGATGCCCAGCTCGGGTCCAAATCACTGCTTGTCCAGCAGCTTGGGATGTCCTCCCGATGTGAAAAGCGCTATACAAATGGAATTTTATTGTTGTTGCTCAATGGTGTATTTGCACTCAGAGGTTCATTATTATTGAACACTGAGGCCTTCAAGCTCCAGTGCAAATGGTGAGTAGTGGGTGAAGCAAGCTCCCGTAGTAGAACTATAAAATTCCTCTAAATTTAGAATATTCTTTAAACAAAATCCTAATCATTGTCCCTATTGGTACTGTTTGGATGGACAACAGCCTCACAAGATCACAAAATTAGTTTGGACGAAGAAGACCTTTAGCCTATCAGATCTCATCCCTCCAGAACACGCTGCTTACAACACCAAGCTACATTTTAAAGAATTAAATTTCCACAGCATTTTTCATGTTAATTGCTGCATCAAAACCAAAGTGTGACACGTTTATGGGTTCCCGATGGTTTAGCCTATTTGTGCATTGTGCGACGAGCAGCACAGCCTGGGTTTCAATCTCACTCTCTGCAAACGTTCAAATCAGGATCTTCCCCTGATGACACGTGGTGCTGCAATGAGGTGATGTGCTTGTACTTACCATCCACCTACTGAGGGCTCAAACCGCACTTGTCGGATGTCGAACTACCAACTAGAGCTATCAGGACCTGGAAGGGCAAACTCATCTCTGGGGAAGGGAGTCATCTTGTTAATTTGGCAAGCCAATGCCCTAACGGCTACAATGGTCCTTGCTGGACAAGCAACAGGAAAGCTTGCTGGACAGCAATATCAATGATAGGGAGTGCATATTCTATACCAACAATCTATCTTTAGTATTTCCACGTGTAGCTGGGATGCATGGAAATCTCAGCTTGGTTTGGATACTCTTAAGTATATAAAGAGGAAGAGATTAATAAAAGTAAATGTAGGTCCCTTACAGGCAGAGACAGGAGAAATTATAATGGGGAATAAAGAAATGGCAGAGTCACGAAACAAATACTTTGCTTCTGTCTTCACGTTGGAAGATACTAAAAACTTACCAGAAATAGTGGGGAACCAATAGACTAATGTTAGTGAGGAACTTAAAGAAATTAATATCAGTAAATCACTAGAGAAATTAATGGGACTAAAAACTGACAAATCCCCTGTCTGCATCCTAGGGTTTTAAAAGAGGTGATTGCAGAGATAGTGGATGCATTGTTTTTGATCTTCCAGAATTTCCTGGATTCTGAAACGGATCCCGTTGATTGGAAGGTCGCAAACGTAACACCACTATTTAAGAAGGGTGGGAGAGAAAAAATGGGGACCTATAAATCAATTAGCCTGACATCGGTGGTAGGGAAAATTCTAGAGTCTATAATTAGGGAAGTCATCGTGGGGTACTTAGAAAGTCATAATAATTAGGCAGAGTCAACACAGTTTTATGAAAGGGAAATTATGTTTAACAAATCTTTTAGAGTTTTTTTGAAGATGTAATTAGCAGGTTAGATAGGGGTAACCAGTGGATATAGTGTACTTAGATTTTCAGAAGGCACTCAACAGGTGCCATATAAAAGACTGCTACATAAGATTATGGCTCATGGAATTAAGGGTAATATATTAGCATGATTCAAACAATGGTTAACAGGCAGAGAACAGAGAATAGGGATAAACGGGTCCTTCTCAGATTGGCAGGTTGTGACTAGTGGAGTGCCGCAAGGATCAGTGCTTGGGCCTCAACTGTTTAGTCTACATCAATGACTTAGATGAAGAAATAGAGCTTAATGTATCTAAATTTGTGGACGATACAAAGCTGGTTGGGAAAGTAAGCTGTGAGGAGGACACAAGCAGGATGCAAAGGGATACATACAGGTTAAGTGAGTGGGCAAAAAGGTGGCAGATGGAGTATAATGTGGGGAAGTATGAAATTATTCACCTAGGTAGAAAAAAAAGAAAAGCAGATTATTTTCTAGAAGGGGAGAGACTAGATAGTGTTAGTGTTCAGAGGGATTTAGGTGTCCTTGTACACCAATCACAGAAAGTTAGTGTGCAGGTACAGCAAGCAATTAGGAAGGCTAATAGCATGTTAAGAGTTTTGGATAAGGGGTTAGAGTACAATAGTAGGGAAGTCTTACTGCAATTCTATAGGGCCTTGGTGAGACCACATCTGGAATATTGTGTACAGTTTTGGTCTCCTTATCTAAGAAAGGATATAGTCGCCTTAGATGGGGTGAAACGTAGGTTCACTAGGTTGGTTCCTGGGAGAGGGGGTTGACCTACGAGGAGAGGTTGAGTAGACTAGACCTATATTCTCTAGAATATAGAAGAATTAAGGTGATCTTAAAGAAACCTATAAGATTCTTAAGGGTCTTGATAGGATAGATAGTGTGAGACTGTTTCCCCTGGTTAGAGAATCTAAAACTAGGGGTCATCGTCTCAGGATTAAAGGTCAGCCCTTTAGAACTGAGTTGAGAAAACATTTCTTCACTTAGAGGGTAGTGAATTTATGGAATTCTCTACCCCAGAAGGCTGTGGACGCTCAGTCATTGAACATATTCAAGACTGAGTTCGCTAGATTTTTACAAACTAAAGGGATATGGGGATAGGGCGGGTAAATGGAATTAGGTTAGAAGATCAGCCATGATCTTATTAAATGGCGGGGCAGGCTTGAGGGGACGAATGGTATACTCCTGCTCCTATTTCTTATGTTCTTAAGACACCCGGCTGACCAAAAAAAAAACTTAGGGCAAAAGAGCAACACAACTTCCTTGTTTGCCAATCTCTCAGCAGTCAAAGAGACGTGCTTGTTTAGAAATAGCCCACCTCATGATTATTTATTTCCAGTTTACCCCGCTTGCTTCAAATAGTTTCGGTCTGTTGTCTTGTGATCCAGGTAGACGTTAAGGGACCTCCCCAACCCCACCCCTCCCGTGCGATTTCAAATAAACATGGTTTCTAACCCATTCCTGACATCCTCATGCAATATTAAATTAGTTACTCATTTCTAATTAACCTCGTTCAAGACTTTTTTAAAGCAACAATTTACATAGCACCTTTCGTGTCAAAGCACTTCATATAGCTGTCAATTAACATGAAACATGCTAAGGAAATTAAATTTTTAATAATGAATTAACATAATAGTTCATAGTAAATCAACATCAATTTTTATTTCTCTTTCCACTACGTCATTTCCCAGCCAAAGGATTGGGACAAGACTTACTCCAAAAATCGCTGTTGATTATCTCTACCACATTAGAAAGAATATAAGCACTTCCATTTTTAGAGCATCTTATCAAGTCAAAACATCTCAAGATGCTTTGTAGTAATTACTTTGGAAAGAGCTCACAATATTCTGACCCAGGAGCAAGACTGCTACCAACTGAGCCAAGGGCAGTTAGCAGTACTTTTGGGAGGTTCTGGGATGGACTAATCTAGTTTATTCTCCCTCTGTAAAGCTTACCTTGGCCCTGATAATCCTGTTAAAATTTGGAACTCAGGAAATGTTCAGACACAAACTCTTGCTGTGTTGCTGTGGCGTGAAGCATTGTGCCAATGCACTATTGTACCTGACAACACAGCAACATCTAAATTGCAGTTCGAAGGACAAATATTTCTATCTTAGAACTAAAAATTCTGACATTAAATTCACGATAAAGTTGGAAAAATTAGTTCACGATTTTAAAACTATTCGCTGTTATAAGGGTGTTTGATCCCACCTGCTTTTACGTGAACTTCTCCAGGTTTGCCTGTTGAGAGATGTTGTGGCAATATGAGTAGGTTGTGTTGCTCCTTTATCCCAAGCACAGAAACTGTACAAAGTACAAGGCAGGCTATGAATGTATTGCACTGGTATTTTAACATGCTAAACTACAACTTGGTAGAAGTGCAAGTTCCCAGTACAGCTTCTAACAAAGTGAGTTTGGATTTTAGCCAGGCCTTGGGTGTGGTGAGAAAGAAAAGGGGAAAAATACTGCTTCTTCATAAAGCAGGAGGAGCACTTGGTGGATTAAACCACAGCCCTCTTAACAAAAACAAATGAGAATCGCTGTTCTCCTGGTTGCTGAGAAAACAACCTAGAATGTCTAACTGTCCACACTCTCAGTGCAGCTCAAGTACTGCCGCAGAAGTGCCCAAAGAGGTGTTAAAAAAAAATTGAAAAAAAGGTGCTTATAGGAGGAAGATGTCAATGAACACAATAACTATACAGAATACCATAGCTCTCATAGCTTTCCACCATGTAAAAAAGAGACTCACATGATGGATAACTGAAGGCCTGTGTGGCCGAATGGTCTTTTTTGCTGTAATATTCTACGATTTTGTCAAAGTCCTGAATTGTTAATACAGTATTGGGAAGCATTTATACCAAGCATAATTGGGGAGGGTTCAAAGAAATTAGTTATTTTCATAATTAGTTAAATAAAAACTGTGGCATCATTTCTTAACTTAACAATAAATAAGTTGATGCTTTAGCCTCTCTGCTGCAGGTATTGTTTTACTTTTATGCTAGCATTGTTTGACAATTGTGAAGCAAACTTGAAATTTCGCCCACAAAATACGCAGTCAATTCACTTTACAGTATCTCCTGTGAAGTGCTTTAAGACATCTCAATGATGTGATAGGGCACTCTGATAAAGGGGTTATTATTGTTGTGGGAATACATGAGGGTATAAAAACATACACTCCTCACTTAACTATGTTGTAGAATCAAGTTCAAGCTAATAGAGGTCCTCTGTGATTCACATAAATAGTGGAGTCCCACTGGTGGCAGAATACTGGTCTTTTTTTTGATATTGATAAAATCTGATGTTTCCCTATCTCTGATTCACGGAGCAAGAGAAAATAAGCGAGCAACATTTGGGCTTAGGGGTCGGACATTCTCCACAAGTTAGCCTCAACTGGGATACTTTACAGCTAACTCTTAGCAATGATCCCTTGCCTTTTGTTGCTGCAAAAGATTAATAGTGAATGGATGTGAATGTGTGAGGAGGAAAAGACATGGGCAAAATGGTATGTCAATTCAAGCACTCAACAAGACTCCCAACCATCTGGGTACCTGGACTTTGCAGGCAAAGCACCCACGAATATAGAGCCCTCCCTCAGATGATTCTTCTTGGGTTATTCAAACCGGGAGATGAGTCTCCTCTTATTTTCAGTCCGGTGACATCAATACGTAAACTGTAGTCCAGTTTATTAAATCATTTTCGCTGTCAAATTGATTATTCAATTAACAGAATTTCACTGTAAAGGCTTAACAAGAACAGTGCAGCAACTATCGTTACAAATACTGCTGACTTAAGTTACAGTTCTGAATACCAGATTCAACATTAACTGCTTGATCACTCCCATGTTTTATTGTACGTACAGCAGCAGCAATGTAGGAAAAATAAACAGGCTTACCACTTTCTAAAAAAAACTTCTTCTCATCTCCTTCCTCAGTCATCTCTAATATGTCAGTATATGCTCGAGCCAGTCGCCAGCAGAACTCAGAGTCTAATCCATACTGCAGAAAACAAATAATACAGAATGTTTATACATTGCATTTCCTAATCTTGTGCAATGAGACTTGCTGTTATGATTAACTTAATCAAACTTCCATCTTTAAAAGATCTTTAGATAATCAAAATTTATTGTGGAAAATCACAGTAGAATTTCTGATCTAGTAATCCAGATGTTTCTATATTGTTCAAAAGTCTGCAACATGCAAATACAGCCTGTGTATTCCCCGGGTAGTATGCTGCTTCATCGGGTCATCACATTGAAGTAAGACCCATCTCAAGACCCTCCTCTTCTACCATGCTTTCAGATAAGAAATCTTATAGAAAATAAACTTATTCTATAAGAAAGATCTTTGCTCCCCTGCGCTGGCTTGATGGCCTGCTCAGAAATTCGTATGAAGTGATTTGAGATGTCCTTGTGACATGAAAGGCACTATATAAATGTAAATTCTAGTTGCTATTGTACAACAGCAGTTATCAGTGCCATGGAAAGTACATAAACCAGAATATTTCACCTTCCTGGAAATCATTTGACAATGGGAGCAAGAACAATGTAGGGAAAATGATACATGTGGTATTGTACTATTATGGATAACACATGAATTTTGAATGATACATACACTGAGTTTCTTATCCAACAGCATGTGAAAACCTTTTTTTTTGTCCTCATCTGTGCCACTGTTCAATCTGTCTGCTTCATTCAAAAGCTGAGTGAGTTCAGCTGACATGTGAGAAGTGTAATGCGTTTCATTTGAACCATGTGGGTTAGGTGAGTGTCTTGGAGAATTATTTTCTGCCACTGTATTTTGTCCATCTTCCTCGTTTTCATTCTCATCCTCATTTGCATCTTCATGATCACACTCTGAATCAGCATTAGCTGTACTATATCTAAAGATAATTAACATAAATTTCATTAACATTTTGCTCGTGTCACAGTGAATCTGGAAAAGATGGCATCCTATGGAACAATACATTAGAACTTTAAAAAATTCTGTGCCCTGAAGTGACAAGCACAGGATGCCACCTATAATTCCTAACACTGAGTCCTGTAGCTCAGTGGTTAGAGCACTCGCCTTGCAAGTGAGAGACCTGAGTTCAATTCCAGGCAGGGCGAAACCTTGGGCAAGTTTCCTTACTCCACACAGAGCCTAATAATAATCCCTCCAAAAACAATAATAAATTGGTCATTTTCAATCCATGACTGTTTGTGGGACATTGCTGTGCGCAATTGCCTGCCGGGTTTGTCCACAAATATACAGTCAATTCACTTTACAGTGTGTTCTGTGAAGCGCTTTGGGACGTCCTCCCGATGTGAAAAGCGCTATATCAAATGCAAGGATTATTATTACTCAATGCTAAGGGGATGGTAATCTCAGAGACAAGTCAACTCACAAAGCTGCTCTCAGCAGCTAGTCTCACACTGGCATCAGTTGAAAATTTGGGGGAAGTTTGCATGTGCTGCATCTCTTGGCTAGACAACAGTACATGCTGTAGTTGGCACTAACTACATTACTAGAAATTTGAAACCTTCAGCAGGCAGAAATACAGATGACCCTATATATTGGAAAAAACAACAGGACACTAAAGTGGTAGGACATCATACAGCAGGCCATTCAATCCATTGCATTAGCGTCAGTCAAATGAGACCATCTGTACCCTACTCTTCATTTATGCATACAATATTAGATTCAGAAAAGGTGTGGGGGGCATGAGCTAGCATCTGAAAGGAAAAGCATCAGCTACAAGTTTATTACCAACTGAACTGTATGTAGAAAGAGGAACACAAATCATGATTATTGTAGTTTAATAGTTCTGTGCCTAAAGGAGATTTATTGACAGTATTGTAATGTTCATCATGTAAAAACATTCAAAATACAACCAGACATGAAATCTCATCCTGTTTTTCAGTGTTAGGGAGGAAATTTTCAATTTTCACTTATAAAAAAACAATGTTTTAAATACGGGTTTCCTGTTTAAAAGTCTCATGCACCCTCCGAAGTTAATAAGTGATGAGAAGATGAAGGCTGAGTTATATTGACAGCTTCCTATGGGTAAACACACAGGAAAATCCAGCCTGACGCTCTCATTCAGTGCTTCCTGTGAGGGAAATGGCACAACAATCAGTGAGCAAGAAATACAGTGGACTATAAATAGATTAATGAATAGGATAATAAAAGCACTGATGAGACACTGCTACCAAAGCCAAAGAAAGGATCAAAAGCTCTCTCAGAATGCATTTGTACCCTGTAATAACAACAACTCCAAGCAAGAACCAAGAACAATGACAATCAATACCTGCAACAAGGCATAAATCTCAGCTCCACCCCCCCAACCCGTCATTAACTCAATTTCCTCACCCAATTACCAATGAATCAGCCACTCAGTTGCCCTCCTCTCTAGGTGCACTTTTGTCCTATGTTTATGTTGTACATTCCTATAATTTTAATTGTGGAAAACTTTAGTTTGTCCCTTCAATGGATGGCAAACTCCTAGTTTGTTCTCCTACCTTGTGTCAGTCCCATTCTGGCTCTCTCAAGCGTCCTTCCCCAGCACTCCCCCATGTCTTCTACCTCTCTCACATTTTCTGCCACTGCTCCTATCAACACTCCTTTCTCCCTCATCCCAATTAATCTGCCCCTCTCCTCAGGCACTGTTCCATTTCCCCCTCAAAACCGCTGTCATTACCCCTCCCCCCTCAATAAACCCATCCTTGGCCTGGATGAGTGCCATCTTTCTGAAGCTGAAAGACAAGACAGAACAACCCTCATTGACTCCAGTCAGCATCTTCTCAACTGTGGCTCCAGCTTCTTTGACCTCCTGGTCTGCCCCTCAGATGCACTGAACCCATGCGCAGCCTACATGTCAAATTCGATCGCAGATGTTCTTCCTCCCCACATCCGGGCCCTGACCAGGACCGCTTTGTTCCACCTCGGCTCCACTTCCTGCCTCCGACCATATCTTGCATTCAATGCATATTCATGCATTTGTCATCTCCCGCCTCGATTTCTCCCAATTTTTCCTGTGCCTATGGTCATCTCCCCACCTCCCCCAGCTCGGTGTCAAGCTCTGCCACTGTTAAGCGCTCCGAGACTCTGTCCCGTGTAAAGGGTATTATATAAATACAAGTTGGCTAAATAGAATGAGCAATGATTTCTTTCTAGAGTCTAGTCACTTTTCAACCTCTCTTATAATAACTTACATTTGATATAGGGCTTTTCTAGACGTCTGAAAGCACTTCACAGAATATACTGCGAAGTGAATTGACTCTATACTTGTGGGCAAAATAATTATATTCATATCATGTAAATGAAATCCCTCTCAATATTTTACTTAAAAGTTTTTATCTCTCTTCCTGTTCAGAATCCTGCTTCTCTTCAGGCCATCAATAAAGGAAGCCTGTCACTACAACATGCTGTCACCCTCCCCCATAGAAATGTACTTGGGGGACCAGACACCCAGCATCCAGCTTCCCAGAAATTCAGGCCCCAGCATTGGGGGGTTCCAGATATTCAGGCCCCAGCACTGGAAGTAGCAGAAGCCCAGATCCTGGTACTGCAAGTCCCAGTCTCCGGTATTGAGGGCCTCTGAAATCCCACCACAAATTGCCCTGAATGTTTGTAGCTGAATTTTGGGGGCCCTCAATACTCACTCCTTGTTTTTGTTGTTCTTTCTCCTCCATATTATTTACTAAAACAAAACCATAAAAAAAGATACAATAAAGTTATTACTAAAAAATTCCATTCCAAGCCTGTCTTCAAATCAGCTCCAAAAACTATTGTGATAAACTAGTAATCACAAGATCACTCTGGATGAACAACCCCCTTCGTCTTATCTGATAATCCTCGAGTACACCGACTCTATCGTCCCCCATTCACTGCATCAAACTACTTTTTAAATGAGTCCAGTGTGGTGGCTTTCACACTTTCCTGGCAAGCGAGGCAGGTACTCCAGCAATCCGTTGCTCACTCTGGAACGAACAGCTAATCTCAAGCAGAGCAGGCTTCAGATGTTTCAGAATTTGGAAATTCACTGTTTTTATTCCTATTTGCCTCCGTTAGAGGCATTGCTCTTTACTTTTGATTCAATTGGGTTCTGCTTAGTAATATCCTGCCTCACATCAACCCATTCAGTAACTAATTTGTTTTCTTGGGAGCTCTCACCTCTGGTGTAAGGCACAACTATTACTTCCCCAGATTTCAATGTCTTTTGATAGATTCAACCCTTTGATTTGCTGACACCTCCTGCCCCAAGCTAGCCCTTTCAGGCCAAACTTTTCAAAATATTTATATTTTATGTATTTTTTAAAATCTCTCTCATTGTTATAGGTTTCCAACTGTACAGCGCCTTGGGACATCCTCCCGACGTGAAAGGCGCTGTATAAATGGAATTTTGTTGTTGTTGTTATACTACATAATCTTTGACAATAATCTACAGGTGAAGGAAAGCCTAACTTGTAGAAATTGAAATATAACGCTTGGGGTTGAGAGGCTGAAGGCCCGGCCACCGATGATAGGGCGGTTGGGGCGGGTGATGTGGAGCAGACCGGATTCAGAGGAACGGAGGGTACGGGAAGGTAAGTAGGGGGATAGTAGATCAGAGAGGTAGGAGAGAGCAAGGCGTGAATGGCCTTGTAGGTGAGGATGAGGATCTTGAATTCGCTTAATCAGAAATCTATCTAACACTTTTCTGTATTTGTCTTGGAAGTATAGGAAGTATGGAAAAATCAAACCAAGCACTTAAGGCTGTACTTTAAGATACTGTGTATTAGACAGCATTCTACTCACCCTCCTTCGCTCTCAGATTCCACGTTGCTCCTGGTGCCTGTACTGGCTGTGAAATAAATGGAGCTTGATTCCACTGAATCGCTTCTTTGTCTATAGTAGTTAATTCTCCTTCGTCTGCTTGTCTTATTCGTCTGCTCTAGGCTTAACCTTCATTGCCCAACAAAAAACAAGTTTGGATGGGATGTTAAATCAAGCACGGTATCTATTCAGATGAACATCAAAAATCCAGTACTAGATACATTTTTAGTGCATCTCTTTAGTGGTGTCATTCACTACATACTATCCTTTGGATGAGATATTAAACTGCGGTCCCATCTGTACATGTTTAGGTGAACGTTAAAGATCTCATGGAACTATTCGAAAAGAGAAGGGAGTGTCTCCCAGTGTCCTGACCAACAAACCCCCAAATAAATTTGGTAATACACCAAAGCTATTTGTGGTACACTGTTTGTGCAAATTGGCTGCCATGTTTGTCCACAAAAATACAGTCACTCCACTTTACAGCAAAATCCTGTGAAGTGTTTTGAGATGTTTCAATGACACGATAAGGTGCTATACCAAATGCAACGATTATTATTTATCTGTAAATATTGTACAACAACTGGGTTCACTGGCTCCAAACATCCCATTAAATAGATGTAAACATGCAGCCAAGGCAACAATAATGTCTCAAGTATAGTGTAACATCAAGCATTCCTTACTGTATGGAAAATATTTTTTGTAACCGCCCCCCCATCCCCCACACCCATTTTATTTCTAGGAAGTGTATCTTTAAAACAGTAATGTTAACTTCCCATTTTATCAGTGATGAATCCATCATCTCTAATCATTAATGTGAAGGAACATGAAAATTGTTTGAGAATGAAAAGCAATTTTATATTATTATAAATAAACAGCAGACAAATTATCTGTAATTACCTGTAAAATTATTGTTAAAAAAAACTATGGAAGATTTAGATTTCTATCAGATTCATAGCATATAGCAACTGGTGTTGGCCATTTGCATATAGCAACTGGTGTTGGCAATTTAAAATCCCTCTGAACCAGTCTTTTAAGTGTAGTAAAAGTTAATTAAAAAAACTAAATTGATGTGGAAATGTCTTATTGATTAAAGTATTTGATTCTGGAGTCTATCTTTGAGTTATAGTATGCTGCTTGGAACATTTCTCCTAAACCCCTCCCAAGTGGATCCCAAATTGCTTCCACTCTTGACTCTCGCAATATGGATACAATCTCCAATTAAAACTCATGGGAAACGGACTCTGCCTTAAATCTGAAAGTGGCAGTAGCACAACACATAAGGTTGCCACAGAATCCTCTTACCTCATCTAGCTCAGCATTTTATTTTAAAAAGTTCATTTAAGAGTGAAGAAATAACATGTATTCTCATAGCAACTCAACAAGTCAAAATGTATGAAACACCTGAAAATAACTACAGCCAGATCCCATTATACCACAGGTCTATTTATAATGGAGTGAACCATGGACTGAAATGCGGTGTCTTCCCATCGCATAGCACGCAGACGGGCTCCTAGCATCTGAGCAACCACTGGAAACACCCACAAGAGTATTTTCTGGTTTCTTGTGTGCATGGTTCAGTGATATCAGGAGCAACTTCACTGGCAACCTGACAATCCAGAAGTGCTGACCGCTCTATAACACAATCGATTATAACACAAGCTCTGATTTTATGCACTCAAAACACTGCGTTAAAACAGGGTCCAAATGTATCATCTGTTTTTGTAAGAAACATAACAGCAATAACAAGTTCCCACCTACTGCCATGTGCCCAATTAATCTAGAGGCTTTCTGGCCACCACAGCAGGAGGAAGTCCTTCCTCTTTTCTAATAGTGTCATGGGATCTTTAATTGCAATCTTTTGAACAGGTAGGCAGGACCTCGGTTTTAATGTCTCATATGAAGAGTGGAAGTACTCCTTCACCTTCAAAACAGTCACTAAACTGAGCAGCAATTATCCTTGAAGCACTTTAAGATATTTCAATGGAATTGGCTCTTTACTAAATACAAGGTGTGCATACACACACTCACAGTACTTTACAGTACTGCATATCCTGTGAAGCACTTTGAGACATCTCAACAACATGCTGAGGCACTATATCAAAAGCAAAGCGCTTCACAGGATACAATGCGTGGGCAAACATGGCAGCCAATTTGCACAGAGCAATGTCCCACAAACAGCCATGGAATGAGTGAGCAATTTTATTTGGGGGATTGTTGGACAGGAGACCAGGAAAAACTCCCTTTTCTTTTTAAATAGTATCATGGGCTCTTTATGGCCACTTCACCAAACTGACAGGACCTTGGTTTTAATATCTCATCTGAAGGATAGCACCTACGACTATGTAGTACACCCTCAGCATTGCAATGGAGCATCAGCGTAAATATGTCAGTTTAAAGTCTCAATGCGGGGCTTGAACCCACGACCTTCTGGTCAAGAGGGAAGTGTGCTACCAACTGACAAGTTGATGCACACAAATGTTAATCTCTTCATTATGCTCCCAGCACTGCAGTGTTTTCTGGCTAAACAAAATGTTCAAGAAGACAATCTAAAAATATATTGCTGGATGATTTAAACAGTTCAGGTCAACACGGGGTAACATTTTTAAATATCTACACAATGTACCATTTTTAGATAGCTACATAACATTTTACTGAAATCCAAATCAAATTTCCCATCATTGAACGTATTGATCAAAAAATATTAACCTGACATCTCCAACAATCTGATCTGACATCCCACTCAGACTCTCCCGAAGTTCAGTCACCTCCTGCTTCAGGTCTTTTACATGTGTCAGTATTACATTCAACTGCTCCCACATCTCTGCCTGTTGATCCCTCAGAGATGTGTAGGAGTCCTCTGGCCCTGTTGTTCGTCTCCTCGCTTCACTTTCTAAATTACAAAATACAAAGACAAAATTAGTAACAACAAATATAGTTCTTGGTATTTGATATAATGTTTATAAAGTCAAGAATGTCTCATAAGAGTGGCATCTTACTATTACAATATATTTCCTCCAATTTATTTTCTAATAGGTTAGCAGACAGGATTATTTATCGTTGATTATTTCAATTAAACAATGAATAGTGTGATGGAATCTTTAACATCCATCTAACAGATCCCATGGCACTATTCAAAAAAGAATGGGAATTTCTCACAGTATATTGGCCAAACCGCCAGCTACAATTGGTCATTCACTTCATGGCCGTTTGTGGGACATTGCTGTGTGCAAATTGTCTGTTGCATTCACCCAGAAAACACAGTCATTTCACTTTGCAATAAAATCACGCAAAGCTCTTTGACATGTCCTCCAATGTCAAATGCAAGGATTATTATTACTAATAACCAAAATATGTTTTTGATATTTTTTTAAGAGGTACTGAATTAAATAGTACACAATGTATAAAGGTGCCTCAGGCTCCTATGCTTTATTGAAGATATGGTGTGAAGTCCACTGAACAGAATTTATATTTATTTTCCCCCCAAAAGAAGGGAGGGAAGGGGGTCGCATTTACATACTTTTTTTAAAAAAAAAGAGTGGCAGAGTGAGCCAAATGTTTACAATGGGGGGAAAAAAAACTGATCATCTTTGATTTCGATGGTAGCAAACTGAAAAAAGAAAGCATTCAGCAGCTTGTAAATAACATTAACCTTTGTCCTACTGTCATCAATGCTTCATTGTATTTTTTTCCATTGCACTGCTGCATTTGAACCTTGCAGTATGTTGCTGGTGCACCACCTTTCTCTATAGTTTAATTTGCGAGGTATAAAAAGTTATCGCTTTAAAGAGCTACTTTGCTTAAATTTTAAGTAGGTTTCTGTCGTTTCAACAGCGTGTTACCCTCCAACTTGATTTCACTTTACAGTGTGTTCCGTGAAGCGCTTTGGGACGTCCTCCCCGACGTGAAAAGCGCGGTATCAAATGCAAGGATTATTATTATTATATTATTACTAAACGGAAAGCAGGAGACGGGGAGCAGTTCATTTACGGTTACGGGGAAAAAAAAAGTCCGTCTTGGGCGCGCGGTGTCGTGTCGTGTCGTGAATTACCTTAACACACTGTAGAAAGAGAGATAAAGTATTGCTGATGTGTGTGTGTGTGTATATATATATATATATATAAATTAAAAAAACTCAAGACTGGGCTCAACCTCTCACCTGAGAGCTCCGGTACCACCATCCCATCGCCTCTCAAACCGGCCCAGACGCCGCCCGAGAGCCTCCTCCTCCTCCTCCTCTTGTTGTAGAGCAGGTACAGCAGACTCAGCCCCGCGGCCGCCCCCAACCCCAGCCCCAGGCTGAGGCCGGTCCCGTACACCCCCCGGGCCTCCCCACTCATGGCCCGCGTGGGTTCCACATCGCCCCCCCACCCCACCCCACCTCACCCGCCCCCCCCCCTCCAATCGCTTGTATTAATACTCGTCTAACAGTTTTTTTTTGTAAAACTAGAAATACCAATACATTAATTCTGTTACTATCACTGTTATTGCTGCGCTATATTTTATATTATAACCTGCATTACTCCCACGTTGTAGAGAGGTTGGAGGAACTTTGCTCGACTCGGGAGAGGGACAAACTCTCCCCCCACCCCCTCCTCCTCCGCCTCCCCCTCGCGGCTCACGCGCACCGCACGTGGCGACTGCAACTTCGAACCTCGACGGTTGCTACGCGCTCGAGGGCTCAGGACAAACGCCTCCAACGGTCAACCTCCAACCGCCCGGATTCAAACGGTCGGCCTCCAACCGTCTGCCCCTCAGCGCGGGGAGCGGGTACGGTGACCGGCCGCCACTCTACACCATTTATGCCCCATCCTCCCCCCCCCGTATCGCTATCGTTGGCTCTTCGGCGGGAGGGGGGGCGGCGGCGGGGCGGCGGAGGAGACGGTTGAGAGCTCGGGCTCCGGCTCGGGGGGGGGAACCGCAATCAGCGACGCACTTTCTGTTGTTGCGCCGACCACGGGGTCCTTCCCCGGAACCCTGAGAGCTCGCGGCTCGGTTCCGGCCTCGGCTCCGGCGGTTTCGCTTGAGGGGAAGCTCCGTGACCCGGACCCCCTCGGGGTGGAGGGGGCTGTCACAATGGCGCCGTCACTGCGCGCTGTTGTGGTCGGCCACAGCTGCCGGAGGTGACCAAGATGGTGGTGGTGGTGGGGAGGAGGAGGAGGAGAAGGAGGGAGAGGTCGCTACCCCTGAGAGTATTTCCTGTGAAAGACTTTGGAGACGTCCTCTCCGGGTCAAAAGTTATGAGGTGATTATTAATATTCTTATGTGGGGATGGGGGGGGGTTCGTTTCCATTTGAGCTCCTGGTCCATTGTGGAAGCGCCTTTGCCCCACGTTATGGAGTTTGTTGGTGTCCTGTAGCTCAGTGGTTAGAGCACTCGCTTTGCAAGTGAGAGACCCGAGTTCAATTCCAGGCAGGTCAGGGCGAAACCTTGGGCAAGTTTCCTTACTCCACACAGAGCCTAATAATAATCCCTCCAAAACCCAAAACAATAATAAATTGGTCATTTTCAATCCACGACTGTTTGTGGGACATTGCTGTGCGCAATTGGCTGCCGCGTTCGCCCACAAATATACAGTCACTTCACTTTACAGTGTGTTCCGTGAAGCGCTTTGGGACGTCCTCCCGACGTGAAAAGCGCTATATCAAATGCAAGGATTATTATTATTATTATTATTAAGCTCAGTATGATTAGGGTACTACTAAGCCCCTCTGGTCACACATACTGTCGAGAGAATTTGGGCTCATTGCTGTGGACTCCACACTGATCCAGAGTTTAGGGTTACCAAATTTTCATGGTTTCTCCTGTGGGGAGTGGGAGGGGGGAAAGGGATTACTTGACAAAAGATTTCAATAACTTATTTGCTCAGTTCTGTAACCGAGTCTCCCATCTTCCTTCTACTTTTAATGTTTTCGATCCCTGAATGGTGATTTGCTTCTGCATCAAAGCACCGTACCGAACCGGTGTGAACGTATTCAAGACCGAGATGGATAGATTTCTTATTGCAAAAGGGATTAAGGGATATGGAGATAAGGCAGGGTCAGGTTATTAGCTGGAGTTAGATTAGAAGATCAGCCATGATTGAATGGCAGGGCAGGCTCGAAGGGCCGAATGGCCTACTCCTGCTCCTACATGTTATGTTGTGTTATGAAACCTTCACGATTGTTACTCTGCACTACTCCGCAGCTGATCTACACTTGTATCTTTTTATTAAAGTTAAAGGCAAACTCAAACCCACCACCTGCTCCCTCGATCCCATCCCCACCTCTCTCCTCGTCTCCCAGCTCCACCTTCTGCCCACCCCCTCCTGTCCGATGTCATCAACCTCTCCCTGTCCACCGGTTCCGTTCCCACCCCCCTAAAAACGGCCGTCATCACCCTCATCCTGAAAGAACCTTCCCTGGATCTATCCCTCCTCTCCAGCTACCGCCCCATCTCTAACCTCCCATTCCTCTCCAAGGTCCTGAAACAAGTCGTCGAGTCCCAGCTCCGCTCCTTTCTCTCTCGCTATTCCCTCTTTGAACCCCTCCAATCCGGCTTCCGCGCTGCCCACAACACGGAAACAGCCCCGGTCAAAGTCACTAATGACATTCTGAACATCTGTGATCAGGGCTCCCTCTGCCTCCTTGTCCTCCTCGACCTCTCTGCCGCCTTCGACACTGTGGACCACTCCATCCTCATACACCGCCTCTCCACTTTACTCAGTCTTCACGAATCTGCTCTTGCCTGGTTCGGTTCCTATCTCTCACTGTCTCCACTTTGTTGTCTCCAACGGTTTCTCCTCCAGCCCCCGCACTGTCACATCTGGCGTCCCCCAGAGCTCTGTCCTTGGCCCTCTCCTCTTTAACACCTACATGCTCCCCCTTGGTGACATCATCCGCAGACATGGGGTCAACTTCCGCATGTATGCGGATGACACCCAACTCTATCTTTCTGCCTCTACCCTCGACTCTGGCAACATCAACCTCCATGGTTGCACACTACAACTCACCAGTCAGTCAGGAACCTGAGTGTCTTGTTCGACCCTCAACTGTTTTTTCTCCCCCACATTCAAGCCATGACCCGCTCTGCCTTCCCTCACCTCCGTAACATCGCCTGACTCCGCCACTACCTCATCCCTCAGGCCGCTGAAACTCTTGTTCATGCCTTCATCACCTCCAGGCTCGACTATGCAAACGCCCTGCTTGTCGGCCTTCCCAACTCCTCCCTCTGCAGGCTGCAGATAATCCAGAACTCTGCAGCCCGTGTCCTCTCCCGCACCAAACTCTGTGACCCCCACAAAGCCCTCCATGGCTTCACCCCACCCTACCTCTGCGACCTCCTAAACCCCTACCAACCCGCCTGTTCCCTCCGCTCAGCCGGTTCTGGCCTGCTCCATGTCCCCTGACCCAAACACCCCACCATTGGCGGAAGAACCTTCAGCCACTCTGCCCCAACCTCTGGAATTCTATCCCCCAATCACTCTGCCTCGCCCCCTCCTTAGCCTCCTTCAAGCCCCGCCTCAAGACCCTCTTCTTCGACCATCGGCCACCCACCTTCCCCTCCCCTCCCTTACCCCCCCAACGGAGTCCTGTAGCTCAGTGGTTAGAGCACTCGCCTGGAAGCGAGATACCTGGGTTCAATTCCAGGCAGAGGGCGAAACCTTGGGCAAGTTTCTTTACTCCACACGCCTAATAATAATCCCTCCAAAACAAAACAATAATAAAAATTGGTCATTTTCAATCCATGACTGTTTGTGGGACCCTGCTGTGCGCAATTGGCTGCCACGTTTTGCCCACAAATATACTGTCAATTCACTTCACACTCTATTCTGTGAAGTACTTTGAGACGTCGAGAAGATGTGAAAAGTGCTATATCAAATGGACGGATTATTATATACTATAAGGTTTAACAATGACAGTTTCATTTTTCGTAAAGGTCAGATGGATAAATAATTCTTCATCTTTTCATCAAGCAAATAGTATAAAGGGGAAATTGAAAGTGTACTTTTTAAAGGAATAACTTGAATGAACCTTCTAGCCATGACTTGGCGCTAATATAATAATCATAATCCTTGCATTTGATACAGCGCCTTATCACATCTTCGAGACATCTCAAATAACTTTACAGAATATACTGTAAAGTGTATATTTTGTGGGTGAAACTCGGCAGCCAATTGAGCACAGCAGTGTCCCAGAAATAGTCGTGGATTGAGCGGCCAAATTATTATTTAATTTTTTTTAAGGGATTATTACCCCCGGAAAAGTGATCTGCCAATTGAGTAACAAACGTGTTCTTACTTACTGCTAAGTAAACTGTGGCGTGTGAAGTAAGGAAACTTGCCTAATGTTTCGCCCTTGAGGACCCAGGTCCTCTCGCTTGCGATACGAGTGCTCTAACCATTAAGCTACAGGACTCCACATAGTTATCATATAACAGAAAACATATTGCAGTAGTGATATTTGTTTCATTTTATTTTATGGTGATAAATGTCTTCCCAAGTGTTTTCTGGAACAAGTTTTGTTTCTGATTAAATTCTGAACTCTTTACAACTTTGCATTACCCTGTTTCTGCAAATAGTGTGACTGAGATCAAAATTAAACATGTGGAAAATTGCATGTCCAAAGTTGAATGATGGTATCACATAATACGTGAATGTTAAACCGCAGGCTTGCATGAAAAGTAACTCAGCATAGTTTAGACTTTGTAACTTGGAATTCCTAACAATATGCAGGAATAGGACATATTTTGGTAACTTGAGTAGTGTGAAATTTAAAACAGTCATGCCATGAAAAGAATGTGGTTTAGCTTATTGGGAATTTCTTAACAATAGAAATAAGTTTGACAAGCTGGAATTTTATTACACACCCATGAATGACAAGTGGTACATTGGATTTCTTTTACAGTAGAATTTGAATGGGGTGTGCTTCGACACATGGAATGTAGTCAGTTTACTGTACAGTATATTTTGTGAAGCACTTTGAGATGTCTTGAAGATGTGATAAAGTGCTATAAACAAATGGAAGGATTATTGACTTTCCCAAACTCCTGTCCAAATGGGGTGGGGGGGCGAGCTTCAAGGTGTTGAAAGCAAATGGATGAAGGCAGAATCTACCTGCTGTATGAACACACTCAAGATGTTGTTCTCCACCACTTTCAGACTGATGCACAGAATGATTTGTTCCCTTCCAGCTCCTTTTTCTTCAATAAGAACATAAAAACTTGCTAAACGAAAGAAGACCGAGATCCATCCAGTTTGCCTTCCATCATACTGGCAGTCGCATAACATGTCATGATCCAAACTATATATTTGTTCTCGCGATACAAGTTCAAGGATGTTCAAGGAGCATGGCATCTGACAGTTTTTTCTTGTTAACACAGAAGTTGATTTGCCTATCAATATTCTGTCAGATTCCCCAGGGTCATACAAAACGTAAGAGTAGAGGAATCCACAGTGCTTCTAGACATTAGTTGGCCTCAGAGTGTGATTCACTTTGGAGTTGAAATAACTTGTCCAATTTCACTTGCCACAGGCCAGTAATTCTCGTGAATTGCTTTGAGATGTTGCAATGATCTGATAAGGCGCTATGTTAAATGCTAAGATTATTAATCAATTAATTAATTATTTAGCACCTTTTATGCCAAATGCAATTCGTAAAACCACTGTAGAAAATAAATGCGGCTTTTGTATTATTGCCAAACTGGACACTGACGCAGAAGACTCTTGAGAAATGCACACTTTCATGTTGATACGTGTAGCAGAGTATAGCTTCACAGATGTTTTTAATGTGTGCCTGAATTTTGCCAAGAATTCTAGCTGGTGGTACACCAGCTGCTGATATCCTCAGCCGTACTCACTGGCACTGCAGTCTGAATGAGACCTTAGAGCTAATTTCCTGTAATTTCCCCTCAATCAGTTACATAAGTCCAAGAGTTCAGAATTGTAATGAATTATTGACGAAAAGGGTCATCGGTTGGGAAAGACAGCCATTTAAATATCATTTAAACATCATCACCGGCATGTCTTTTTTTGGATTGGAGTCGTTGGCCAAGGTTAAACACAATTTATCTATGACTTACAGTTAGAATGTCTCAGACATCCAGGCAAAATGCTTTAATGCCTTCCTTTGGTAGGCGCTGGGATCCTTTACTGTAAAGCGCTCTGAGACGTCTGGTGTGGAGGACGCTATATGAATCCAAGTTGTTGTTTGTTGGTACATTTCTCTATTTGCCTCATCCCTCTTCAATGTACCCCCTCTTCACCATCTAAATGTTTCCCTTTGGTGACAGTATTTTGTGCAAAGCGCAGAATAATAATAATCTCCATGCTGCCATCAGTGGCTGGGGTTTCAGTGTCAGTATTTTCTATCCATGAGACATGTTGAATAGTAATATGCTTCTACTTCATAGCACAGGACAGAACCTGTGTGAAACCTTCAGAATTGTTATTCTGCACCATGCATCTACTCTATAAATTTATCTTTTTATTAAATTTTAACAATGACAGTTTCATTTTTCATAGAGGCCAGAGGCATAGATCATTCTTTATCTTTTAATAAAGCTAATAGTATAAAGGCGAAATTGAAAACTTGGAGTTTTGCTTTTTAAAGGAATAATGTGAATGAACTTTTCAGCTATAACTTTGTTATACTATATTTCAGAGTTTTGTTAAAAAAAATTACATAGCCATTGATCATGTAACAGAAAACATATTGCAATTGTGATGTCTGATTCATTTTATTTTCTGGTGATAAAGGTCTTCCCAAGTGTTTTCTAGAACAAGTTTTATTTCTGATTAAATTTTGAATTCTTCAGTATATCATCCACTATCCCATTTCCTTTTAATAAAACTCGAACAAAGATAGGAATAAAAGCAATCCCTGGCAGAAGTGTGGATTCCTCAGATATTAAAGATCTTATCCTGCTGTGATGATCAATGACAGGACTTTGGATGTAATGGAGAAACATGTAATCTCTATGGCCTTTCCATCCTGTGAGCCATCAAAAATACCAATTAGATATAGTTTTAACTGTTTGAAGGCCACGACTACCATATCATGTTGAAACATCTCAAAGAGCTTTGTTGGTTTTACTGCAAAATGTAGTGACTGTATTTGTAGTTGAATGTGACAGCCAATTTGCACAAAGCGATGTCATAAAATAGCTACAAAATAAACCACCTTTATTTAGGGGGAATTGTTGGCCAGGACATCAGTAACTCCATTCTCTTTTCAAATAGGGCCATGAGTTCTTTAACATCCACCTGAACAGGCATTGACACGATCTTGGGTTAACGTCTCAGTCAAAGGACGGTACCTTGAACAATGCAGTGCTCCTCCAATGTTGCACTGAAGTTCAGCAAAGGCCAAATTTCTTACAAATTATTTAATTGACACAACAACAAAATTACATTTGTAAAACGCCTTTCACGTCGGGAAGGAGGACGTCCTAAGGCGCTGGACAGACAGAGTTACGGACCCGAGCTGGGGGTCGGGATTGAGGAGAGTCGAGGGCGGGGGGGGGGGTGGGGAAGTAGGGAGGTCGAAAGCACGGTCAAAGAGGCAGGTCTTAAGATGGGTCTTGATGAAGGCAAGGGACACGCCCCTTAAGTACTTAACTAATGTTTTTTCCTGACAAGCAACCATAAGCTGGCTGGCCGGGGGTGCGGGGATGGTATTCACTCAGTTAACTGGTATTGCACTACTCAAGAAAGTCTCAAAAGGCTTCACAAACCTGACTAAGAGCTCGAGCTGACATGAGGTTTGATTTGCACTGACATTAAATGTTCTTTTTACTGCACTCTTGTCACAAACATTCTCTGAAATGTTAACCCATTTTATAGACTTTCATCAGTTTTGCCAATATGTCACACGGAATCAATGCTTAAACTTAAAGGGATTGTGTGGTGGGGCTGACTGTAGAATCAAAGCTTTATATTTACACAGTACCTTTCGCCTAAAAAAGTAGTCTACAAAGATCAATTAGGAATTAGGTGAATGCTGCTGTACAGGCAAATAAAGCTAATCTGAGTTAGTAATATCTGAGTATCCAATTGATTTGAATTTGGGATGAGGTGGGAATATAAACCCACCTCAGTCACTGCACTTCACAGTAAAATTCTGTGAATTACGTGATATGGCATTATATCAAATGTAAGGACTACTATTTCATATCACTTAGAGAGGGACTGGTAGAGATGAGGCTTTCATTCTATCGGTCTGGTGAGTGATTCAAAGCCAGCACCCATAGTCCAAGGCCATTGCACCAAAGCCAGTACCCCACTCACTCTTTCATTACCTGCTGCACAATTACGCTTTTATGTTTGGCAACTTAGACGGACATATGAAATGTTGGTATAGAATGAATTAAGACATCACTGTATATACTTTTGCGTTTCAGTAAACATCGAAGGCTGAGAGTGATTGTTTGACAGGGCACATGACCTGTGGTGAACTATGACATCAAGATCACAGAAGAAATTTGGATGCCCAAAGCCCTTCATCTCATTATTCCAGAATGCCAAACCTACCAAACTTCCATTACACCATTAAGTTGTACGTTTGTGGTCCCCTCACTGGCTCTGCTAGAGATCCAGACTCCATCGCGATATCTGCCATGAAAATTGCAATATCAAAAGGAGGAACAGCAGCATATTCTGGTCCTACCTATAGTTGTGGGCACGTGCCGGCCATTGCAGGATTACCTGCTTATAGACACCAGTAAATCTTCATTCCTTCACAGGGGAATCTCACTGTAAAAGGCGGACTTCCTGCTTCTGTTATTGCAGAATGTATTTGGAAATTGGAATGAGATACATTTTTACTGTACACAAATAAATAAGTTGTTACAATCAAGTTGTTACCATACATTTTGCCCACAAAATAAACTGTCAGTTCACTTGACAGTATATTCTGTGAAGCACTTTTAAGATGTCGCGACAACATAGGATTCAAGGATTATTATTATCATCACTAGAGGTCATCTTGTAATCTCATCCTTCCAGAATACCCATCCTACTGTCTTTCCATTACACCATCAAGATGTTTCTTAAATGAATCCAGCAATCTGGCCTTATCCCTTCCTGGCAACTGCTGCGTTCTCCCACAAATATACAGTCAGTTCACTTTACAGTGTGTTCTGTGAAGCGCTTTGGGACGTCCTCCTGACGTGAAAAGCACTATATCAAATGCAAGGACTATTATTATTATAACTGCTCCCAACTGCTGATTCTCCTTAGGGTAAAGACATGCTTCCTGCTGTCCGCCTTGCGCTTGCTCCGTCTTTGTCCTGTTTGGGTGCGGTCTGATAGCGTGGTTTTAAGTTGAATTTCTCTCTTCCACTTGATTTCTGAGACACACAACCTGCCGCAAAGAAAACACTGGCAATCCAGCTGGGCTCGGAAGCAATGCCCGTTTCCTGCACGCCTGGCCCTGAAACCGGGAGCGATCACTTTACCGGGAAGGAAGGTCCCTTTAAGATCTGGTGGGAAGGCGCTGTTGAGGGATTGGCTGGGGCTGTGGGCTGGGCTGGGTGCTGGGGGAAGGGATCGCAGAGGCTATTAACCTACAGCGTGGAGAGCAGCGCAACACAGGCCACAGACACAGAGACCGACTGAGCTGCCGAGGGAATGCCGTACGTCCTCATCAGCACCCAGACCCGCCTGGTTAGTGACCCGAGGCTCGCACTGATACACGTTGCAGGGGAGGAGGAGGGCTGGGGGTTAGGGTAGGGCTCAGCCGGGGGTTCATGTAACAGTCCCAGTCCGCGTTTAATCTCCCATCTGCTGAGCCGGGTGTGTGTGTGGGGGGTGGGGGTTACAGGCTCGACAACAGGTCCCAGTCTGCCAGTCGCAGCCTCACACAATCCATTCACCTGTCAGCACCGACATTCAGTCGGCTTTCAGTTGGAATGGAGTGTTATAATAATATTATAATGATAATAATATGTGGGGGTTGGGGGGGATGATGCTTTGAGCTCAGTTTCAAGGCTTCATCTAAACTGGAGTATTCTCTCTGCTTCAAATGTGGCTCTTAACAAGTGAGAGCATCCTGTGTTCAGGGGATACAACTTCTTTCTCCACTTGTTACAGTCCAGAGTCTCCTTCTGAACTCCTCCACTCCAGCACTGGTTATCAATGAAACCATCTGAGATTGACACAGTGAGGCAAAGCAGATCCAGGGAAACCTGATCAATCGGATTGACCTGACAGGATGTTGCCTACGTCCGAAACGCCTCTCACCATTCAGACTTTGTAATTTTTACAGCTTAATTAAGGATTTAGCTTTTAATTGTGTCTGACACAAGTGGAAACCCATCGCCGCGCTTAAGAGTACTGCATAATAATCCTTGCATTTGATATGGCACCTAATCACGTCATTGAGACGTCTCTAAACGTGCTTCGCAGGATATACAGTAAAGTGATTGACAGCATTTTGTGGGTGAAGCATATACTGTAGCTCAGTTGTTAGAGCACTCGCTTTGCAAGTGAGAGACCTGAGTTCAATTCCAGGCAGGTCAGGGCGAATAATAATCCCTCCAAAGAACAAAACAATAATAAATTGGTCATATTCAATCCATGACTGTTTGTGGGACATTGCTGTGCACAATTGGCTGCTGCGTTCGCCCACAAATATACAGTCAACTCACTTTACAGTATATTCTGTGAAGCACTTTGGGACGTCCTCCCGACGTGAAAAGCGCTATATCAAATGCAAGGATTATTATTATTATTATCTAACCAAACCGAGAACCATGTAAAGCACTTACACATACTTGTTAGGGCTTTGGCTTGCAGGATTAACAGGAGCTGAGTGGGAAGAATCCCTACCCCCAGAGACTGGTCTGTCCTTTCAGATCCTGCTGATGAGCCAGGCTGGCTGGGCTGTCATCAGCAGTGCCCTGGAGTTCTTGAGGTCCTAAGTGGCTCAGGAAACGGACTACAGAAAGCGATTGACTCGAATGTTACCTTGAAACCTGTTCAGCTCCAATCTGAATTTGACAGTATGGATGGGATGTTGTTGTCATAATTTGGTAATTCAAGAATGTTGCAAATAATTACGAGGCTTCAAAGCCATTGGCACAATTTCATTCAATAAATTAGACTTGGTAAATGGTTATTCCAAGCCAGTTCAGCTCCAAAGAAAATCTGCTCATCTTCTGCTTAAGCCAGTTAGTTACTAGTTTCTAGCTTTAGTTTTTAAAGATCTCATTGCTGAGTGAAAGTTAATTTATTGTGATGTTACATATTACTTTGATGATTGTACTACTGCAGGGAATATACATCATGTTCTCTATGAATGTGCACAATACTTTCTGTTATTAGCTCAGTTGGAAACTGAAGTTTGACCCTATGGATGGGATGTTGTCTTCATTTGGTAATTGCAGTATAAGGCCTGAAAACCAATGAAGACACAATTGCCGGAATGTATTTGATAAATTATGGTCATCTCTAATTCGCTCCTTGTGGTGACTCCTTGTCCTTCATGCTTGATCCCAGACAGTGCATCACTGAACATAACCTTACCGAATGCCTGATGTGCGCTGTTCTGGTGTAGGGGAGGCAGATCCCGGACAGCGATTAGGAACAGGAGCCCTGGCTGAACAGTACCATATTGTACTATGGCACCACTCTGTGGCTGAGATCAGTCAACTCAACACAAACCAGGAATAGAATTCAAGTGACCAGGGCATGACCTCATTGTTAGGAAGAGGACAAGCCGGCCGGGGTGTCTGTTTGAAGGTGTGCACATAGATGGGTAGCGAACACAGACCCTGCAGATCCTCACAGCTCAGTACCTTTGTCCAGTTCATTTAATCCATGGAGTCCTGTAGCTCAGAGGTTAGAACACTCACAAGCGAGAGACCTGGGATCGATTCCCAGCAGGGCGAAACCATAGGCAAGTTTTCTTACGCCTGATAATAATCCCTCAAGAAAAAAAACAATAATTTGGTCACTCAATCTACGACTTGACTGTGGGACACTGCTGTGTGCAATTGGCTGCTGCGTTTCGCCCACAAATATACAGTCAACACAGTCAATTCACTTTATAGTGTATTCTGTGAAGCGCTTTAAGACGTCTAGAAGACGTGAAAAGCGCTATATCAAATGCAAGGATTATTATTATATATTATTATATTTGCCCAATGGCTCATCAGAGGAGCTGGCCTCCAGATGGATGCAAAGGCTTGTGCTGCAGCAAGTGTGACTGAGGACTATAGGAGTGTCACACCTGCTGAGGTGACTGTATTTGTAAAGGAACCCGGCGCCACATAATCACATAGTTTAAGCTGACGCTCAAATACAGGGCAGGAGTGGTGTTGCATTGTCAGAGGTGTCGTCCTTCGGATGAGACTTTAAACCGAGGTCCCGTCTGCCTGTTCAGGTAGACGTTAAAAGATTCCACGGGGCAATTCATAAAGAGAAAGGAGTTTTTCTTGGTATCCTGGCCAACAACCCCTCAAATAAAATTGGTCATTCACTCCATGGTTGCTTTGCGCAATTGGCTGCCGCATTTTTCCCACAAAATACACAGTCAATCCATCTTACAGTACTGTATATTTATTCCTTTGAAGCACTTTGAGACACCTCAACATGATAAGGGCTGCTATCAAATGCAAGGATTATTATTATTACGCGCATTTAACTGCCGTGTTTTGCCCACAAAACATACAGTCAATTCACTTTGCAGTATATTCTGTGAAACGTTTTGAGACGTCTGAAAGATGTGATAAGTGCCAATATCAAATGCAAGGATTATTATTATTATTCCCATTTAAAGACTCTTGCTGATAGCAGACTGTCAGAAAATCAACTTGCACTAGCTGCACACCGCGCAGTCTCTATCGGGAGTCTATCCGCTCCCTAAGGCGGGCCAACACAATCAGATCGAGTCTTCTTATTAACACCCCCCTTCCCCCCCCCCCCCACCATGTGCTGAGTAGATAATGAGATTTAGATAAAAGATGATTAAAAAATTGTAAATATTTTTAGAAACCATGGTTTGTTTTTCAGGAGACTGGACCAACCATAGTTGGGGACGAGCACTCCGATCGGCGGCTGATGACCTTACTTGTAGCCGAGAAATTCACCATGTTGGGGAATAACTTGTGAGTATTGTGCACAACGGACCAGAGCGTAGGGGAGGCTTTCAGATTTAAAAAAATCCATCTTTCTCTCTTTGTGTCTCTCTTGTTCCCAACCTACAGCCTAAAGGGCGCAGACAGGCTTTATTATGGTTTTCTTGACTTTGCATTGGAAAGGTGGGTGAGCTGAATTTCCCCCCTGCCCCGAGGGAGGAGATTGCTGCCCTGGCACTGTGTAACCACTGCTGTGTGCATCTTGCCAGCTTTCTCCAGACTTCTCCTAAAGGCATTGAGAAACAAGCCGGGCTTGCTAGACAGCAGGCAGGAGGAGGAACCCCTGATCTTCCAATCTCTAGGATTGGGCACACAAGAACAAATTAGATTTATACAGCGCCTTTCAAGTTAGGAGAACATCCCAAGCCACTGGACAGACAAGGTTTTGAAGGCAAAGGGACTGTGGGATGGAGTTACAATGGGTAAAGGCTCGACCGCTGATGGTTGATTGGTAAGGGTGGGGACCCATGGATATGGCCGGACAGTAATAATATCTCTGTTGTTGCACCAACCGAGACCAGCAACCTCAGTGCAGATTTGAACCGAGAGCCTCCCAGTGTGTGGCTCAGACACTGAACACACTGAGCTATCAGCCTGCATAGATACGTTATTTACTCAGAGGTTAAGTAAGTAATGAATCTTTAAATTTAATTTTAAGTAAATAATTATGTAAATAGTTAACAATTAAATAATTAATAAATAATCTGGGTTGGTGCGAAACCAGGATTCCACTATTTTTAAGAAGGCACATCCCCAAAACACTGTTCGCTGCAGATTGTGGCTACAGTTCTCCAGTGCACTTGCCAATAAGGTAAGCCTGTACATGGGGAGAGGCTGTGAAGACAGACCATTGCTCAATCACACTGATCGGATCGCACCTTTCACATCAGGAGGACATCCCAAGGCGTTGGACAGTCAGTGTTTCAGACCCGAGCTGGGAGTCGGGATTGGGGAAGGAGGGCAGGGGGGGGAAGGAGGGTGATCGAAAGCACCTTCGAAGAAGACAGTCTTGAGATGGGTCTTGAAGGTGGTAACGGAGGGGGTGAGGCAGAGGGACTGCGGGATGGAGTTCCAGAGGGTGGGGGCAGAGTGGCAGAAGGCCCACCCGCCAATGCGTCACGTGGAGGAAAACAGCAGCATTGATGGGTTAATCCTAACCCTAAGAGCCTCCGATTTGTGAGCTGTGTGACAGGCGGCTGTTAATAAGAGCCTTGTTACAGAGAGTAAGCTTTGGCCAGTTTCTTCACAAATCTGTTATAATCTCATGGATTCAAAGCACAAATCTTTTGGGCTCTAATGAGGTCAGCCTGCAATCTGTGATTCTTCAGGAGTAGGTGATGGTTTTCACTCCTCTGCCTGAACGCATTTCACTCTGGAAGACGTAATATAATGTCAGATTACTGATGTGGGATATGCATCTTTGGTAATTTTCTAGTAGATTTGTAAATTACTATTCTGAATTGCCCCTCACATAAAAAATTAAATCCAACTGAAGGTCACAGCCATCGGTACTGATGACTCACCTGTTAACCCCTAGCTGACTGGAAGCTATCATGGAGTGTTATTTGTGTTTATTGTTAATGGATTCCTTAATAATTAATCTGAGGCCCAGACGGCAGCTATTTGCAGAAGGACATTAGGCCACTCCAGAGATGGATTGTGTCGGAACAAAGTTCCAGAGCTCCGCAACTTCTGGTTTGCAACTTGGGAGTCATCATGAAGGAATCCATTAAGATATTCTACAATTTAGACTCCAACAGCTAAAGACTCATTTGTTATATTTAATATTGTGTGTAGAATAGTCGTGTACACTTATCCTGCTCACGACTGCAATCCAGACACAGTTATTCTCACTACTGCTAACCTCCCTTTGATCTCAGTGCTATCTCCACTTACAGTGGGTTCTCTAGATTGACGCTGAATTTGGTTCTTCCCTTGCCTTTAGCCTCTTGTCAAGTACTGCACTATGTTCACTTTTGCTCCTGACGACCTTCACACAGTCGCAATCCACTTCTCCCGGACAGACTGGCCGACTTGCTTTACTTACGTCCATCCTACATGATAGGCAACGTAGAAATGCAAGGTTATATGCATGTGTTGGTTACTGTTGCTCACCTTTAAGATGCTAACTTTGGGAAACTGACCCTTTTAAGATAGCTTGTGATGATAGTGACTTGACAACTACATGTATTTATGAATGAGCCTCATTAATAATAATAATGAATGAGCCTCATTGTCTCTCTGTTGTGGCCCAGAGCTGTTTGTAAACCATGTAATGAAATCCAATTGAATTTGCAGATCTGGAAAGACAAAAGGAGCAGTGTTTTCCTTTGGCAAATGTAGTTTTGACACACCCAATGCTGTCAAATGAGAATAACCATAATTTACATTTATACTGTCCCGCCTTTCACAATGGCAAGACATTTAATGTGCTTCACAGAGCCGGCTGGGAAGCCAGACTGGTGTATGGGCAGCTGAGGGTGGAGGTGAAGGTGATCAAAAATGCAGGGTCAAAAAGAAACGTCATGAAGTGGGCTTTAACGGTGAGGTGGGGAGGGGTTGAGGTAGAGGGTCTCTGGGATGGAGTTCCAGAGAGCAGGGCAGAATAGCTGAAAGCCTGCCTACCGATGGTTTGCCGGGGGTCTGACACATGCGGAAACCCATCACCAGGGGGTGGCATGAAGCAGGCTGGAGATCCCTGAGCGGAGGGAGCAGCAGGGACGAAATTTAAATAAAGTGAGATCACGTAACACATCAACTGCCAGCATCTGAAGCTCACTGATAATGTGACTGAAACCAATATCAACACACACCCTCCACTCGGTATTTCTGGCAACAACAGTGGAACGCTTCCTGAAAGACACAAAACCTTCTTTTTCGACTGTGCCTTTGGTTACTTTGCTTCCTCCACCATTGCCCTCCACCCCTCTCTAATCCCAACCCAGCTCGGGTGCAAACCCCTCATTGTCCATTGCCTTGGGACATATCCCGACATGACAGGTGCTATATAAATTAAATTTGTTGTTGCTGAAAGATATTCCAAAGAAAAAAAACTTGCATTTTATAACTTGCCTTTGCATACTGAACTGTATCCGAGCACTTTATGGTAATTACTGTCAAATCTATGGACTATTTGGCCACAATTTGGAATTCTAGGTCCTGGAATCAGCTTCGTCTTTCTTGAACCCTCTGCAATACTCCATTGTGCTTTAAAATGGAGGCTTCCCCGAGAGGGAACAAAGAACGTGCTTGGCTTCTCACAGCAAAGTGTCTCAATTATCAGGTAATTAACATCAAGTGCAGTGTACTGTATATTCTGTGAAGCGCTTTTAGACGTTTCAAGACGTGATAAGGTGCTATATCAAATGCAAGGATTATTATTTATTACAACTTTCATAGTGGGAGGATATTTCAAAGCAGTTCACAAAGCTACCTAAAGTTCTTCCAAATACCATGAGATGATGGACCATTTTATTTGAAAAGCGACTTCCTTCTCTTTTCGAATAGAGCCAATAGGATCTTTTAACATCCTCCTGAACAGGCAGCCAGGCCTTGGTTTAATATCCCTGACATCCGGGTTCTGGAAGCGAGGGCTAATCTGTACTGGGCTGTGGGTGCTGAAATGTTCTGTAGCTGCGGGAGTCTGAGCTACAGCAGGAAATACAGGGTGACCAAAAAGTCATGATAACTACCCTATTATCTAAAAAAAATTCATAATTTCTTTAAGACTTATTAGACATTGTAATGGTATCACGACTTTTTGGTCACCCTGTAAAATGGGAACATTTTCATCAACTTTTTCAACAGCTATCTGGAGGTAATGTTGTGATGGTGACAGAGTTGTCTCTGGTTTGTCTCTGCAGTTCGGAGTACCGTGTGAATGACCCACCCCGTCTAGTGCTGGACAAGCTGGAAACAATAGGCTACCATGTGGTCAGCATGACCGGAGTGGGACAGACCATCGTCTGGTGTCTACATAAACCTGCAGAAAAACCTTCGCCGCTGTGGACACCCCTTAAATGACAGACAGAGAGAGAGACCAGCTGATACCAGGTCACCAGCACAGCTAACATCACAATGTAAACTTACACTGAAGGAACATTCCAATTATAATTTACATAAAAAGCTGGCTAGCTGACTGGTGTTCATTCCCAACCCACACACGCACACCATGTGATTCTACGTTAACACATTAAAACTATTTGAATCAACCATCCTCCCAATTCCACACACAATCCCCTGCTAAAGTGCGGTTTGGGATCAATGCATCATATCTGTGTAGCCACTTACATTCCCCGTTTTTGACAATGTCATTGCTCGTCACTAAGTAGCTCAGAGTGATTTATAATTGTGGACAAATCAGTTGTTTATGAACTGTGTGCAGAATTGATGTTTGGGTGTTAACCTTGACTGTCCACACACTGAGATTCCCATCGCCACTGGGTTTTTCAGAGTGAGCAAACGCTTTGCAAGAAGGAACTGACTTTTCAGCCAACAATATTGTTCTTGTTCATGTACCTGGGAGACCGGTCCCACCATAGCACTGAGAGCAAGTCATTTGTAGGAATAAAGCAACATCGAGGTGAACCTGGTTCCTCAGCCACGAGTAACCCTCGCTGCACACGATATTCGGTGATTTGGCCGTAGGGAACAAGTCCCACTCATTCAGTAAACCAGATTTGTGGTAAATGTCACAAACTCAAATTGACACATACGGGTGTGAACAAGCAAGTTAACAACAAAATTCAGTTTGTTAGTTCCTTCCCAAATGGATAAGGAATCTCTGGCTTTAACACTGACTGACACAGTAATTCTCTGTATGACACACTTTCTAAATGAGTAACCATATTAAACAGCCTCTTGATATTCATATTTTGCCCTTCATTCTAACACACGGCTGAGTGTAACAACCCTGGGTATAACTTCCTATAAAACCCCTGGTATAAGCCCCTTCCCAACAATCAACTCTATTCTGCCCCATACTGTAACACTCTGTACTTGGCTCCCGATAGCCTCACCTGCTGATCTCCACATTGATTACCGTACAGTGTGATTCACATTTATATAGTGACTTTCACATCAGGACGACTTGATTCTGAGGACACCTGCTTATGACTGAGAAATGCTTTATGAGGAATGTGTCATCAAAATTCATTACGGTTGGCTTGTAACCCCATGGGGTGCCAGGGAGCAGTCACTGCAGGTTTACAGCACAAGCTGCAGAAGTGTTTAGTCACAGGGAGTAGAACGTGTGACTTTAAATTGTCTGTGACCTCACTGGGCAGCTAATAGTGTTCCCATCACTTTGGTTGCGTTTGAGATCTAGGCTCAGGATCTCTGCCATGAATGTTGGAATATCAAAAGAAGGAACAGCAACAAAGACAATGAGAGCATATTCTGCTCCTACCTACAGTGTAGGTCAGGTGCAGATCTCTGCAGGTTTACCTGCTTATAGATACCAATAAATCTTCATTCCTTCACCGGAGAATCTCACTGTAAAAAGCGGACTTGCTGCAGAACGTACTTGGAGATTGGAACAAGATACATATTTACTGTACACAAACAAAATGGGCTGTTACCATCATTAGAGGTCAGCTTGTGATCTCATCCTTCCAGAATACCCACCCTACTGTCTTTCCATTACACCAACAAGCTGTTTCTTAAATAAATCCAGCGTCCTGACCTCAACCATTCTTGGTACCCCCCTGGTAACAGCTGCTGATTGCTTCAGTGTAAAGAAATACTTCCTGGTGTGTCCTGAACTTGCCCTTCACATACCTGAATCTGTGTCTTGAATTCTTCCTATTTGTACGTATTTAGCTACCACATTGATCATGCAGGAAGTTTTTGTAAAACAATGGATTGAAACACATCGTGACCAAGACCTCATTCGAGTCTGTCCGATCTAATCCTGACATATTGGATTGATTAACTGAATCTTTTGAATGTCCTCAATGGAGAAGGCTGCCGAGGTGTCACAGCTGTTATTGTTTTAGCTGCAAATGTCGTAAAGTTTAGCAACACAAACAAGCATCATCAAAGCAACCGTTTCTGTGTATTTGACCAAGTCCATACTGCGATGTCAGTCGCATTACAGAACAGTTAATTGGTGCGTGCATGTAGCAGCATCCGAAAACAATGATCTCACACAGTGACCCAGATACTGCTCTCACTTTCACACAGTGACCCAGATACTGATCTCACTCTCAGTGACCCAGCCGATACACTCCTCTCACTCTTGTAGTGACCTAGAGACCCTGACACTGCTCTCACTCACACCGACCCAGCCATTATACACTGCTCTCACTCTCACACAGAACTACCCTTACTTACTCTGTGCTTCACCGGTATAAGGGTTAGTGCCTGCTCCCATCACAATGTCTCTTGCAGGCAGCCAGGGGTCAGCGCACACCGAGTGGGACTCGGAAAAAATAGACTGAATGACCAACCAGTGGAAAAAAATCTTCAGTGATAAACTTCTGGCCATATAAGTTGACCTGCTTTTTCCCTGACTAAGAGGGCAGCAGATCCTAGGGTTGACGTCCCTGCTGTTGCTGCTTTTCCAGCTGTTTAGGGCCAAGCTGGGTGTCCATCTCCCTCACCTCTCAGCAAGTGCTGGTCAGGTCTAGAGTCTCACCAGCTTCCAAACCCTGGGTCTCCCAGACCTGCCCGGGCCTTCACTGCTCCCAAGGCATTGGAGCACAGACTGAAACAAGAAAAGGGCTCCGAAGATTCATATAAAATGACTATTTATTCCAGTTCAATGTATGTGGGCCTGAGAGTGGTCATTATTGTGGCCAGGTTATAAGTCCTCCTCCTGCTGTAGTTCCTCGATCAGCCGTTGTCTCTCTGCCGCCTGCCGCATGCGCATCATCACCAGGCTCTCGTAGTCCCGTTCCGTGCGTAACGAGCCCTGTGGGAAGAGGGAAAGGAGAGGCCGGTCAACACAGCTCGGGCAGGTCTGGTCTCTCCCAGGCTGCTGCAGGAGGCGGTGTGATGGGAGCAGGTGCTGACATGAGAGTGAAGCATAGAGTGAGAACGGGCAGCCCATCTCCCCCCACCTGCTGAAAACTCAACTACATCAACCACAGGCCATTCTCTCCCCCTCCCCCACCTGCTGGAAAATATTAATAATAATCCTTGCGTTTGATTATAGTGCCTTCTCACGCCATTGAGATGTCTCAAAGTGCTTCACAGAATATATTGTAAAGTGGACTTACTATGTATTTTGTGGACAAAAAGCGGCAGCCAATTGCACACAGCAGCATCCTACAAACAGTCGTGGGTTGAGTGACTGCATTTTTTTTTGACATTGTGGCCTTACAGACCCTCCCCTCCCGAAGGTTTGTTCACCGCACTGTATATTTATTTGTAGGCGAACACAGCAGCCAACATCCCACGAACAGTCGTGCAGTGAGTGTCTAATTTTATCTGGGTTGTTGGCCAGGACACTAGGTGAAACTCCCTTCTCTTTTCCGATAGTGCTACAGGATCTTTGACATCCATCTGAAAAGGCAAAATAATAATATATAATAATAATCCTTGCATTTGATATAGCGCTTTTCACGTCGGGAGGACGTCCCAAAGCCCAAAATGTCTCCTCCAAAGCACAGTGTCATTGAAAATGCTCCCCCACGACCTACAGAGGGGAGAATGCTACCAACCTGCAGCAGACTGACACTCAGTGCGACTCACAATGAGCTGTGCTGGCATTTGTTGAACTGATTGATTCGTCCAGAAAATATAGCACCTTATCACGTTGTTGAGATGTCTCAAAGCCTTTCACTGGAGTTTACTGTGAAGTGACTATGTATTTTTTTAGGGAGACGCGGCAGCCAATTTGCGCAGAGTAATGTCCACAAATGCAAGGATAATATAAAAAATATCCTTGCATTTGACGTGGCTCCTTTCCTTTCACGTTGGGAAGATACCTCAAAGTGTTTCGCAGAATGTACTGTTCCTCGCTTCCTGTGTGCTGCACCTGAAGGAAGTGGACCTCCATGGCGATCTGACAGCCCAGAAACAGGCCATTCTTGTAGTTGAATAAAGATAAAAATGGGTAAAAAAATCCCATTCTAATTCAATGAAAGGATATTTTTATCGTATTGCTAAGAACAACCCAAAAAGTGCAGTGAATTCAATGACATTTTTGCCATGAGAACGTTTATAAATCTCAGTGGCCAGAGGGCGCCACTTTCGGGAGGGGAGGAGAAGCACAGGGTTTACAAAAATCTGATTGTATTTCCCTTTGGCAGCATGGCACGTTGCCACATTTTGGCAGTGATTCTAAGATGAAAGGCATTGGAAGCGAACACAGGAAGAAACAGTCCAAACATATGAAGCGACTTTCAGCCTCTCTCCAAAGGGAAAGGAAGGGTGTTCCTTATCCACTGAGTGAACTTCCACGTGTCAGAGTAAAAGGCAGACGCTTTGGTTCACCGTCATCAAATTATGGAACAGCTGCTCTTCGGTGCTGATATTCCCTTCTGCTTTGACACAATAATAAACAGCTTTTAAAAGCTCCAGGCGCCTCATCCTTTTCCCTCATCCATCGGCTTGTATTTTGGAGATTGCTATCTGCCTTGCTCTCTGGCGGCAGTGTACGTGAGTGTGTGCAGCCACACACACACTCACGTACACTGCCGCCAGAGAGCAAGGCAGATAGCAATCTCCAAAATACAAGCCGATGGATGAGGGAAAAGAAAGCCACAGATATTCCCAGGTTATACAGAGTGTTGGGAGAGGTCACTGACAACGGAGGGGCTGCTGCTAAGCATGTGCACTGAGACTTCCTGAGCTGCTCGTCACACGATGGAAAGAGAACCACAGCACAGCCCAGGCACCGCATCACCTAGTACAATAGGACTGACCAGCACATAATGTCCTCACGACAAATTGACATGGCAGGCACATAGAGGGCATTTTGCTATTTCCTCTCCAGTCTTTGTAACCCACACTGAGCTTCTGTCTACAGTGTTGTGTACATATAGTTCTGCTCAGACACACCCAGAGAGAGGACTGTGTCCAGCTCTGGTCAGACACAGCTGGAGAATCATGTCCATCTGCCACAGTTCTGACATGGGGCTTGAACCCACCTAATGAATACAGTGTGGAATCTGAAGCTTGTTAGTTGCTGGAAATGAAGGTACCAAGTCCAGAATGATTAACATCAGAGGCAAAGGTCTGAAAGGTAATGTGGAGTTTTGCTCCATTTCCTTTTGGTCACCTTCCCTCAGGCTGGAGGGTACAGGCTGGAGGGTACAGGCTGGAGAGTGCAGGCTGGAGGGTACAGGCTGGAGAGTGCAGGCTGGAGGGTACAGGCTGGAGGGTACAGGCTGGAGGGTACAGGCTGGAGAGTGCAAGCTGGGGGGTACAAGCTGGAGGGTACAGGCTGGAGAGTGCAGGCTGGAGGGTACAGGCTGGAGGGTACAGGCTGGAGGGTACAGGCTGGAGGGTACAGGCTGGAGAGTGCAAGCTGGGGGGTACAGGCTGGAGGGTACAGGCTGGAGAGTGCAGGCTGGAGGGTACAGGCTGGCGGGTACAGGCTGGAGAGTGCAGGCTGGAGGGTACAGGCTGGAGGGTACAGGCTGGAGAGTGCAGGCTGGAGGGTACAGGCTGGAGGGTACAGGCTGGAGGGTACAGGCTGGAGGGTACAGGCTGGCGGGTACAGACTGGAGAGTGCAGGCTGGCGGGTACAGGCTGGAGAGTGCAGGCTGGAGAGTGCAGGCTGGAGGGTACAGGCTGGCGGGTACAGGCTGGAGGGTACAGGCTGGAGGGTACAGGCTGGAGGGTACAGGCTGGAGGGTACAGGCTGGAGGGTACAGGCTGGCGGGTACAGGCTGGAGGGTACAGGCTGGAGGGTACAGGCTGGCGGGTACAGGCTGGAGGGTACAGGCTGGAGGGTACAGGCTGGAGGGTACAGGCTGGAGGGTACAGGCTGGAGAGTGCAGGCTGGAGAGTGCAGGCTGGAGGGTACAGGCTGGAGGGTACAGGCTGGAGAGTGCAGGCTGGAGGGTACAGGCTGGAGGGTACAGGCTGGAGGGTACAGGCTGGCGGGTACAGGCTGGAGGGTACAGGCTGGAGGGTACAGGCTGGAGGGTACAGGCTGGAGAGTGCAGGCTGGAGGGTACAGGCTGGAGGGTACAGGCTGGAGGGTACAGGCTGGAGAGTGCAGGCTGGAGGGTACAGGCTGGAGGGTACAGGCTGGAGAGTGCAGGCTGGAGGGTACAGGCTGGAGGGTACAGGCTGGAGAGTGCAGGCTGGAGGGTACAGGCTGGAGGGTACAGGCTGGAGGGTACAGGCTGGCGGGTACAGGCTGGAGAGTGCAGGCTGGAGGAGATGTGCATATTGCTGACTGTCACTGCAGCTTTCTATTCAATAAAAATTCCCGAAACAAACAACATTTTGCAAAGTCGTCACTCGGCACAATCTATTACAATCTGACCGTGGGTGGGGGCGAGTGTTACAATCTAAACGAGCCAGTAGGAGACAGGGACGCAGAATGTGAATTGCAAGTTTAGGAGAGACTTCGGGAAGTACGTCTTTGCACAGAGTTTAATTAAGAACTGGCACAAGTTATGAGGAAAGGCAGAAGTGTACGATTTTTATAATAAAAAGCTTGATTATGTGGCAAGAAGGTGTTCGAGTAGGAATTCTGCAAGGATGAAATGAGTCGAAGGGCCTTCTTCAATCGTCCCTCTCTTGTGAGGATTGAGTTGCTGAATCGATAATGTAACTGACTCTTGGGTTTACTAATGTGCCATAATTATCAGCAGATTAACAGAAACCTTGTCACAAGGTCAAGATGCTTTCACAGTCTGGTCAAGGGAGCTGCCTGTACATTCCTTATATGTTCTGATCCTTGTTGATCTGGTGATCACACCCCAGTGATCTGGTGACCACACTGTGGTGATCTGGTGAACGCACACAAGTTCTGACTGTTCCATTCTGCCACAGATGCCTGATATGCCATAATGCAGAAACTCACAAGTCAGTGGATAATCAAGGTTCAGTGTACACAGTATTTTTTTGTGTGCCTGACTCGAAACCTATCCCCACCTTAGCCAAGAATATCTGAATCAGGCAGAGTTCCACATAGGTTTGCAGAAGGCGGTTATACAGAGCAGAAATCTTTGAACCTCCATCATAGGTGAGTGCAGGGAGAGGAAGCTCTCACTAACACTGCCCATGAAGGGTTAACTCCTCTCGCCTGTCATGTACTATGGAACATTCCCGGCATTCTTGCCTTTGTTTGGATCTCAACCTCTGTCCGAAAATATGGGCTCAAACTGATTATTTGCTGCACGTACAGCGCTGGCACTGAGTCAGCCCCTCTGGCTCCCCTGCGTGAGGGGCGCTATATAAATGCAAGTTGCTGTTGTCGTTGTTGACCACCTCCCGACACACATTTACCTTTGTTCCTCACAGTCAGCTTCTCACCAGCTCCACAAGAGCCGGACGCTAACCGTCAGGAGCAGGCGGAGTAGGAGCAAGCGGAGCTGGAACAAACTCTAACTCACAAGGCATGATGTTACACCTCCACGTTTTATCTCCTCAATACGACAAACTAATTGCAAAGCTGAATCCTTCAAAGCCTAGCAATTTCACAGTGGCTATACAATATTTACTTTAATACAAACATTGCAATAATCCAGTCAACTCGCATTAATCCAAATGAAGTGATTTTAGCGCAAGTTAAATGGTCTGGAGACTGTCGCTTGGTGGTGTAACCTGGAAAGTCAGCCTTGTGATCACCTGATTTCCTCACAAAAAGGATGTTTACTTCGGGAATTTCAGTACAACGAGACCAGTGGTTCCAGAGCAATGGTAGTAACTCTGAGCTAGCAGTAAACAAGAGCAGAGGGCATCCCACATAAGAAGAAACTAACAGCAATGGACCGTACAGCCCGCCGAATCTGCTCTACCATGTAATTAAATCGGCTGATCTGCAACTTAATCCCATTTCCTGCCGCTTCAATACTCCGGTCCACCAAACACTCATCTCCTCCCCCATAAATATTTAAATGTGCCTACGACATTTTCTGGTTACGAAATCCATACTTACGCATGGCCTTTTGTGGGAAAATGATTTCAGTCTTGACTGCTTTAGTAAGATGTCCTCATGGTCTAGATTCCCCACCAGAGCCAGAAGTTTGTCTCTAACTGCAGTGTCAATTCTCTTATCATTCTAAACACTTCAATCAGAACATTCCTCAGCCTCTGAGCTCAAGGAAACATAACCCATGTTTTCCCAGCCTCTCTTTGTAATTAACCTCTTCCATTGGCTCAGGTAATATTCTGGTGAAGTAAGACACTGCAGAGAGAGGTGCCTGTGAATGTAACACACAGAGTTAATACGGAGCGATCTGCACCAGCCTGGCCACATTCCAGACACTGCCCTCTTCCCCACACATCAACCAGGTCAATCCCCAAACACCGCAGTAACTCTCCAATAAAGCCTGTATCGTGGTGTTGACTTCAGTAAGCATGAGAGGTTAATCATCGGCCAGCTGTAACCTGCCCGGGTTCTCAGCTCTGGGTGGATCCGACGTGATTCATATACTCCGAGCAACTTCCTGATGTAGATAAAGAGTGAAGTGTAAAACCTGTTCCCACCACACTCACTGTTCTGCTTCGTTTCCTCCTGACACGAAGGCATATTATCACTAACTCACTGCTCTATCTTAAAGGAGGTCTCCCTCAGAGTAAATCGACCGCCTGGGGCCCCGAGGCTGAAATAGGAGGCAGCCACTGTGAGGTGTGTGCGAGGCACAGAGCAGCACAGAGCTCCTGGGACACACAACCAGCCGGACTGTGGGAGCAGCCATCACGACTAACACAGTCAAACACTGAGCAGGTGAGTGGCCCTGACCTAAAGCTGGGGTTGTAGACAGTTTCCCTGGCTCCTCAGTACATTTCAGCTTTTTTTTAAAAAAACAAATTCTACTGAAATATAATCAACTGAAAAAGTCAAAATGTCACAATCTGGGCAGACGTTATGGGTAACTTATTCACTGCTCAGATTACTACCAAAAGAGCAAAGGGCGAGGTTTGGAGAATTTGTTTTTACGTGGAGGCTTTTCCGGATGTGGAACCTTGACCCAGAGGTGCAGAAGAGGCAGATAGAAGCTTTATTAGTGTTTAATGGGGAAAATCTGAAAAGGAGAAATATGGAAGGGTGGGAGGGGGAGTGAGACTAAACAGGTGACTCCATCAGAGCCGGGTTAGTGTGAGGGAGCTCTGGTTATAATAATAATAATCCTTACATTTGATATAGGGTCTTATCACATCTTCAAGACGCCTCAAAGCGCTTCATAGAATATACTGTAAAATGAATTGACTAGCTTTTGTGGGCGAAACACGGCAGCAGGGGTTATCTCAAAGTGCTTGCAGCCATTTTATGCACAGCTTCAACCGTCTCCCTCGGGAGACTTTTCGCTTCAGGTTCACTCTTTGCTCACTGAAATAGTGTTTGCATAGATTCGTTCTGAATTTACCCCCTTCAATCGCAGTTGCGTATCAATGCAAGTTGTTGTTGTAATGTCTTATCCAGAGGATGCCTCCAACAATGCTGCGCTCTCCAATACTGGATTGAAGGGTTTAGCCTAAACTAAGAGTTCAAAGTCACAATGTAGAGCTATAACTCACAACCTTCTAACTCAGGAATGCTACCAATAGAGCCACACTAACACCGACCTCTTGACACTTTGTAAGATACAAGAACTTTCAAAGCAGAGAATGCCAACAGCACCCAAAGTTTAACCAATTGCTACAGGAGCCTGAATGGTTAGTGGGTAAAGGCACTGAGCCCTCAGAGTGCAGTCACAGGTTCAATCCCCCAGTCAATGCTGTGAACTGATCTCAGCGAGAGGAGATCAAATCCCAGTCTGAGTGACTTTAGACAGGAGAGGAGTGGTTGGAATATCTTGTTCCACACCTAGGATTCCACCCTACTGGCCTGGTGCCAGTGATCCTCCCGATTCATTCCTTTATGAAACAGGCCATGTGGAATGTAAGATCTCTGTGATCACAGCTCTGAAACACTGAATGTCTCTGCTGATTAATGGAACCAGTACATCTGGTCTAACCTCTCCAACAATATGGCACAAGTATTTCACAACACCTGACAACTAAATCCCTGGTGAATCATAAACATTACAGTACAGCAGGCACAGAGAGCAACGAGCTCCCTCACTGGAGCTCTCTCCCTATTGTGTCTGTGCTGGTGTTCACTCCCCTCTGGAGTTCTTCGCTCTAATCCCATCCCCTGCTCTCATCCCATCGTATCTGCGCTGGTGCTCGCTCCCCACTGGAGCTCCTCACTCCAAACCCATTCCCTTCTTCACATTCTAACAATCGTTTGTGAACAACAAATGTGTTAGCTGTCCTTTTCCCTTTGAGATCCTCAGTGTTCACCTCAGCGACCCCCAACAACAACAACAAAATTACATTTGTAAAGCGCCTTTCGCGTGGGGAGGACGTCCCAAAGGGCGAGAAGGGAACAATGGTCACTCGTCACTAGGCTCTGAAGTTTGTCGATTTGGGAATGGTTTAAACTCCCGGCAGAGAGTCACTGGAACAAACCAGTACAGTGTTGGGCGGGTGTTGCACCGTCGGAGGTGCCATGTTTTGGAATGAGACATTAAACCACCCTCCACTCTGAAATTCCTGTCTGCCTGTTCAGGTAGATGATAAAAGATCCCGTGGCACTATTGGAAAAGAAAAGGGAGTTTTTCCCAGCCCTGACCAACAATCTTCCAAATAATAAATTAAATTAGTGGCTCACTTCATTGCTGTGTGTAAATTGACTGCTGGGTTCACCTGCAAATAAACACTGACACTTTACATTAAATGCTTTGATGTGCCTTGAGGTGTGTCGATGCGATCAGGTGCTATATCAAATGCAAGGATTATGACTATTGATTTCCTGGTCAACATATCGCTACCTCAACTCCCTCCTCACTGAGCACTGCGGCTGCAGCCACAGTGGTGGTTGATCTCACTGCTCAGCTTGGCTGTGAGCTCATGCCCACACGTGACTGTCAGGGTAAGTGACGGCATCGATTTGTGCACTAAACAGCTGAGTAGCAACTAAAACCTGCTGAGCCAAACCGCAGTGTCAGCACAGGCATCGCGCAGTGCCTGTGTGAGCTCCTGGACACATCCTCCCTCCTCTCCCACTGTCTCCTGTAAGTACAGCCACTTTATCAGTCTGTTTGCTGCATTTCCAGATTATTGCAACTGAGGGAATTTTCTTATTCTTAATTGCCGTTCATTGACTTCAGAGAGTCTAGCGAGCTCGTTCCACAGTCTGTGCAGCTCACTGGTTTCTCTCTGCTGGGTTACTATGCCAGGACTTGCTTTAATATGACTTTCCTCTGGAATGCAGGCGGGTGCAATAGCTCGGTAGCTGTTTGATGTGTTTGGCTTCTAAGCAGCTGGTGTTCAGTGAAGGGCTGAGGTTAGGCTTCAGGATCGGACCATTTCTGGCCACTTTCGGTGGGGAGGGGAACTCCCATCACCTTGAAAACAGGAAAAGGTGACTGAAGATTCACAGGAAGGAGGACAAACAGAGGTGAAAGACTCGCACTGCATTGGATCTGTGCCAATCACATCCGATTTTAAAAAAACTTGTGATTTTATAATACTTTATCATGCTTAAAATGTTTCAAAGGGAATTACTGTCAAGTGTAGTGATTGTTTATGAAGGCAAAAGAGTAAATCCAGCCTGTGAGTGATCTGGAGGAATCTGGAGCGCTGTTGGCCAGGACAGGGGGAGAGACACTGCCCCCCTCTCTATTCAAACAGTGTCATGGGATGTGTAACTTCTATCTGAACAGGCACAGACACAGACCTAAACATAAGAACATAAGACTTTGCCAGGCGAAAGAAGATCAAAGGTCCATCTAGCTCGCTTTCACCATCAAGGTAGTTGCTTGACATGTCGTGCTCCAAATTATATACTGTATCCCGAGATATTATTTTCTTTGAAAAATCTATCTAATTTGTTCTTGAAACAAACAACAGTTTCTGCTCCCCAGGAAGCCTGTTCCATAAGTTTACTACTCGCTCACTGAAGCAGTGTTTCCGCAGATTTGTTCTGAATTTAACCCCCTTCAATAGCAGGCCATGTTCTCTGGTTCTACTGTTCAGTACAAGATAAAACAGCTTATTATGATCTACATTATCAAGTCCCTTCAGAATCTTAAAGACTTTAATCATATCAACCTTCAACCTTCCCTTCTCCAGTGTGAACATGCCCAGTTTACCTAATCGCTCCTCGTAGTCCAGACCCTCCATCCCCTCAATCATTTTGGTTGCCCTTCTCTGGAGGCGTGGAGTCCTGCAGCTTAGTGGTTAGAGCACTCGCCTCGCAAGCGAGAGGACCTAGGTTCGATTCCCAGGCAGGGTGAAACGTTAGGCAAGTTTCCTTACTCCACTTGCCTCTGTTTACCTAGTAGTAAGTAGGAACACGGTTGTTAGTCGACTGTCGAATCGCTTTTCCGGGGGTAATGATACCTTCAAAAATAAATAATATAATAATAATTTGGTCACTCAACCCACGACTGTTTGTGGGACACTGTTGTGTGTAATTGGCTGCCGTGTTTCACCCACAAAATATACAGTCAATTTACTTTACAGTATATTCTGTGAAGCACTTTGAGATGACTCAAAGACGCGCTAAGGCGTTATCTCAAATGCAAGAATTATTATTATAATCATCCCACTCAGCTCCTGTTAACACTGCAAGCCAAAGCTCTAAGGGGTAAAGTGGTCCTAGTTGGAAAAGCAGCTGGAAAGCTTACCAGAAAGTGATATCAATGGCAAGTTATGCAGTTTTAGCTGGTTATACTCCAGCAGTTACCCCAATGCACACTCTGGGGTCCCCAAATCTTGACTTTTGCTATCCCTGAGTCCTGTAGCTCAGTGGTTAGAGCATTTGCCTTGCAAGCGAGAGACCTGGGTTCAATTCCAGGCAGGACGAAACCTTGGGCAAGTTTCCTTACTCCACACACACAATAATAATCCCTTCAAAAAAACAAAACAATAATAAATTGGTCATTTTCAATCCACGACCGTTTGTGGGACACTGCTGTGCGCAATTGGCTGCCTCGTTTCGCCCACAAATATATAGTCAATTCACTTTACAGCATATCCTATGAAGCGCTTTGAGACGTCTAAAAGACGTGAAAAAGCGCTTTATCAAATGCAAGGATTATTATTATTATTACTTTCCGGAATTAGGTGAGCAGGATGTGTCCCTCCAGGGAGAAAGCGTACATTGCATTTCAACAATCTATCTCTGAAATTTCCATGTATAGGTGGGATGCATGGAATTCTCAGGTTGGTTTGGATGCTCTTAAACGTGTTGATGGGTTTCTGCATCATTGAGAAGAACAGATAGATCCCGGGGCGAGTTACAGGCTGGCGTGTTGTGTGCGTTGCGGGAATGAGCGGTGGGTGTGTAAGTCTGATGTCTGTAGTACCTGATTGTAGGTGTGTCAGATGCTTAATGGCTGGGAACTCTTGGCTGACGGTTTTCTCACAGACGCCGGAGGCCCTGGACCTGTGTGTGTGTTCACCGTACATTCCCAGGCGTGGCCCCTGCCCCCCCTCCCAGGTGATGTCAGTGATCACAGTCTTGGCAGGAAATGTCTGATCTGTTGTCTGGTTACATTGAAAGGTGCGACTCATCCTGTGGGGCTGAGGTTTCCTGGCAGCTCATTGCTCTCAGGCAAATCTCTTACCCATGTGCACAGGGAAGTAAATAAACATGAAGCTGTGAGACATGTTACAGTCTAGCCTGGATATAAAGCAGGACTAAACAACAAATGCTGCCTATACTGACCAGACCAGTGATAACTAACAATAATTTATATTTAATTTATATTTATATTAAATAATAGTAGTGATCTGTGGTCAACTCACTTCAGGTCTAAAGCCAGTTATATCTTGTCCATTAACCTGAGATCCAATGGGAGAAGGAAAATCTCATATGTTGTAGCACAGAAACAGGCCATTCGGTGGGGCTGAGAATTCCACACTGCTCATGTTTCAGAACCTAACCCTGAATTATTTTGTCACTAGCTTGAATATGTGTCTTATGTTTTTGTTACGCTGTCGGACTCAAATGTACAGAGGACGGGATGGAAAGTTGGGGTGGGGGGGTGGTGGGTGGGTTAAATGTTACACAGAAGTGGGGGTGTGGGAGGTTAGCAACGTATTTAATAAGTTGATGTGCTTTTTCACAGACAGTCCTGGTGATAAGGATCACTGTGCTGGGTCTCTCTAGTCTCTCTGACTAGACCTGTCGCTGCTCTTTTCGCACAGCGTTAAAAACATCCGATTCCAAAAGTGGACAACAAACAAAGAATGTCTGTCAAAACGCCCATCTACCTGAAAACTTCCTCCCCCAAAAAAGGCAAGAAGCTCAAACTGCGGGACATGCTGTCGGGTGACATGATCAGTCCCCCCCTCGGGGATTTCCGGCACAGGTCCCACATCGGCCAAAGCGGCGAGAACGATGTGTTTGGCGATGTCTCCTTTCTGAAGGGACAGCACGACCTTCTCTCAACCCTGAAACGATCCAAGGAACCGGAGGAATCAGGACCCCCAAAGCCTCCTCGCCTCCACCTAGAAGAGCCGGAGGAAGAGCCCACCTACCTCACCCGCAAGGCTCCTATCTTCATCACAGCAGACCATCGCCCACCCTCGCCCGATCCTGCGCCAGAGGCAGCCGGCCTGCAGCAGGCAACCGGGCTCTGGGTGGCAGGGACTCACCCGCATAGTGGGATGACGGGCGAGGACACGAGTAGCCCCACGAGCGAGCTCACCACCTCCGAATCCATGTTTACATTTGACCTGGATCTGGGGCCTTCGATCTTGGGGGATATCCTCAAGATCATGGACAACCACAAGTCCTAATGCTTCCTCCGGATAAGCTCCCGGCAGTAAGATTGATAACTCCAATTTCCTGGATTACACTGGATTCGCGGAATCCCTCCTCCTTGCTCGGACATGTTAAATACGCCTCATAATCCTCGTCCTAACCCCATTCCACCGTTCCCATCTCCCTTCCACTTACGTTCGCCTCCTCTCTTGAACCCATTTTACTCTCTTCATCCTCCTGCCTTGGGGTGGAGTTCCATAGGCGCTGGTCGCCCCCTGGAACCTTTCGCTCTATTTGTGTGTCAAAGTGAAAAGGCCAAGACTGGGGCTGATAGGGACCATCAGGAAGTGCCCCAACATGTCCACTTTCAGGTGAGATCGCTGCCCAGGGATGGGGAGCGGGGACCCTGGCTGATTTTAGCCCTGGGACATCGAGCACTGAGACCAGTTGTAACCCACCTCCAACCTCCCCCACCCACCCACACTCACACACTGTTGCCCTGGCTGAGATTAGTCCAGCCCGAGCAGCGACCTGGCTCCTGCCTGCTTAACTGTATGCATTTTTTAAAAATGGAACGGCAGTAATGTACGGGTGTAATCAGCAATAATATCACAATATTCAACACTGAACGTTGCTATTCATACACTGACATGACAGCATAAAGGCCCAGGCTGTTGCTGGCTTCCCTCCACTGCAGCTCATTGCTCTGATCCCAATTCCCTGTCCTTTCGTCTTTTCCATTCTTCCTCTTCTATCCACTCCGCTTTCAAATGTTCATACTCTTGTGTCATGCTCTACTTTTGGTAAAGCATTTCACAACCTGATAACCCTCTATGTGAAAGGGTCTCTTGTAACCTGCCCTTTGCCTTTCCCAGCACATTCCTGCGACTGGTTATCTATCCCGTTCAAAGTCTATATACAAGAAACCTGACCGCTTTCCGCTTCAGCTGACCGGGGACAAACCACAGAGCTCCCTTCCCATTTGTAAAGGAAACCTCTGATCTAAAGCCGTGCCTGGAGAGAGAAAATGCTTGTTACTCCATCGCCAGTGAATTCATGGCGGATTTGGAAGTAATTCACCTGCAATAAAGAACCGTCAAGGGCCAAAAATACCATCCTCGTCTCCTGGCAACAATGCATTGGCTTGGTGTACAACGTTAGCTGCACTGTTTGTTCAGTGACACCGAGTACTGTGGACAATGGTCTCCAAGCGCTTGTTAACATGTGTGTAAAACTCTATGGAGTTACTATTTATTTAGCAAAGGGTAAGGGTGAATATAAACAGCTGTGTTTGAAACCGCTGGCAATGTCTTGTGTTTTATGTGAGCTCCTAGCGCAATCATGACAGGCAGAAATAGGCAAGAGCTTAGACAATTATAGACCACTGAAATATTTGTTTAAGGAGTTTGATAAAATACACATTATTCAAAGACCAACCTATGGTATCTCTAGTGCATAAGCCAAATCTTGATTGAGATTAGCCCTTCTGTGGTAAGCTGCAGAAATCACAACTGAGAAACTATTTCCTCTCATAGATTCAGAGCATTGCAAATGGTTGGAACATCCAACCTACACTGTACCTGTAAGCCAAATGTAACAGTGAAAACAACCAATGTTTGGCTTTGGAAAAGGAGTTACTACATCCGTTCTGGCTATTGCAGTCTATTCAACAACAAAAATGACTTGGATTTAGACAGCGTTCTTCACCTAACGCTTTACAAGGATGGTTCGAGTAAGGGAGAGGGGGGAGCGCGAGGAGGCCATGAGGAGGCGAGACAGAGGGTAGAGGAGGGAGTTCCAGAGGTTAGGAGCATCGGATCTGAAAGCTCAGCCATGAATACCGGCATGGAAAGGTCAGGGGATACGCAGTAAGTCGACTTCATATCCCTGAAGTTTCCAATCTCTTACCTGAATAGTTACTTATCTAGTTTTATATATTCTTTTTTAAATTCTCCTCACCTCTTCCACAGTGTGACTTCCTGTCTAAACCAGTGATCAGCTGTCTAACCCAGGCACAAGTGGCCAACCACCATAACTGAGCAGAGACAGCCAGTTAGTAAGTGTTAGCACTGCTGCATCAAAATTCCACCTGGGCTCAACCTTAAGACCGTGGTCTTAAAATGTTAAACTGCATAGAACTGAAGTAAATCTCAAATTCATTTTCAAATTAAAAGTGTTTTTTTCCCCGGTCTTAAAAAAACAATCATGCTTTTAAAATAAGATGGAATTTAAGGATTTCCCAAAATTCTGCACAATAGTAAAATGACAAGACAATGGTTTTCAGACTAAGGACAAGCAGAGTTTTGAGCCTCTGACCCTCACACACGCAGTTTCCAGAAGAATCATTGGATCCCTCTAGTCCAGTGATACCAAGGTCAAATTGTCACTAATAATAACAATCCTTACATTTGATATCGCGCCTTATCACATCATCGAGACGTCTCAAAGTGTTTCACAGGATAATACTGTAGAGTGGATTGACTGTGTATTTTGTGGACAAAACATGGCAGCCAATTTGTATACAGCAATAAAAACAGAAGTCGCTGGGAACACTCAGCAGGTCAGGCAGCATCTATGGAGAAAGGAAAGTGAGTCAACGTTTTGGGTCCACGACTATTCGTCAGACCCAAAATTTTGACTCACTTTCCTTTCTCCATAGATGCTGCCTGACCTGCTGAGCGTTCCCAGCGACTTCTGTTTTTGTTTCAAATTTCCAGCATCTGCAGTATTTTGCATTTTGAATATAGCAATGTTCCACAAATAGCCATGGGTGAGCCACCAACTGTATTTTGGGGATTGCTGGCCAGGATATTGGCAGACACTCCCTTCTCTTTGAATAATGCCGCGGGATCTTTAACATCCACCTGAACAGGCAGACGGGACCTCGGTGTAACATCTCACGTGAAGGACAGACTATCCAGTGCCTGCTCTTTCTGGGCATCTGTCACATGTACATTGGAAACTTGATATAACCACTCTCTGGGCTTGCATATAACCATGATTGGGAATATGCAGTCTGACATATATTCGCCTCCAAAATACAAAATGTGCGCAGAAAGCTACAACAACAACTTGCGTTTGTATAGGATAGTGTCCCAAGCTAGCCTGCCTGCCCCGAATCAGATCATCACCCTTCAACACGCCGGGCGGATTCTCAAGTGCTAAAACATGGCCATCCTTCAGATCATCAGCTCACTGCTGCCTTCAGCACACAAAGTGATGTCAGCAGCGACCTCGTGTCCCACAAGAGAGCCAATTTTTAGACGCAGGGAGCCGGTGACTTTGTGCAGTCCTGACTGGCAAAAATGCCCTGTTACAAGGCTGAAATTTCAGACTCCAGCTACCGCGTTATAACAGTTCTACTGTATTCAGTGTCCTGTGGGGGAAGAAATGTTTCTCCTAATCTTGCCGGAGGCTCGGAAACACAGTACATGTGTCCTGTCGTGTCCTCTAATAGAATAAATAACATTATGCAAACACGCTAAAGCATCAGCAATGTAATGGGAGGAAAAAGGAATTTACTGTCAAGCACATTACGTTCGTGAGGGATTTCTGGAGCCAAGGAAATGAACCACTAGAGAAAATGAACACAAGCTGTTAATAGCAGAGCTTGCAGGACCACACCAGCTATGCAGCCCCAATGAATGAATCACTGTTCCTAAAAACAACACAAGATGAGACGGATTTACAAGGCTTAGGGAAATGGGATCCTAACCGTGATAGAAAGATGCCATAAATGAATGAAAGAACATTTTCAAATCAAAGTTCTTTCCAGGTTTCCTGAGGGCTTTATAGGGCGGGCATGTTAGTCTAAGTTATTGAAGTACAGGAGAAAGTGAGTAAATGGAGGCTGAGGAGATTGCCAGAGACACGACTGTGAGTTGTGAGCTGAGTAGTGGGTTCGGGTTGGAGTTTAGGCCCCCTCTCTGCAGGCACCCAATGGTCCAGTGTGTAGAGGGCGATACAGGCCACAGTCTTGGGTCCACAAACTCGTGATAACTGTGTTATCACAGGCGTGATTAAAACAAAATCGCTGATCAGTGCTTCCGGGTCATCAGGTTTGCACTGATGTCAAGTCCTGTGCAGCCAATTTGCGGAAGCTCAGTGTCTTCTGGCCACCTGAGCCTCCCCCAATATAACTGGAGAGTCAGTCACCGGGCTCCATTGTATTTGGGTGTAAAACACGAAACATGCACAATAGATCTGTCCCACCGCGTGAGTCTGCGGAAGAGGGATCTATGCCACGCACGGGAGCTGGGGTGTCAGTGTGCCCAGCTATGGGAGAGGAAGGTCTGAGCTGGACCGCCTGTGCTGGATAGTTGGCAATGTTTTACTTCACTGTCGTCAAAATGCATTCAAATGAATACTGGGAAATATTTTGGGACATCCTCCTGATGCGAGAGGTGCTTTACCAAATGCAAAGGTTATAATAAATAAATGGGGGTGGTTACCAATGGCGGCATGAATAGAAAATACATCTGGCAAAACTCTGTCCCATTGAGAGCCACACTGTTTTTAGTTGCCTTGTAAAGCTGCAGGTCTGCAGTGGACATTTAATAAGGACATGAAAGCTATTGAAATGCATAAACCCATTACTATGTTTATGAGTTTCCAAATCATATTATGTCACCTACACATGGAAATTTCCCTCTGGCTGGAATGGAACATGCACTTTCTCTCTTTAGAGGGTCGCACCCTGCTTATATAACAGAGACGATAAGGCGCAAGTTGGCAACAGTTAGCAACACCACATTGGGACACTGTTGGGAGTCTAACCAGTCAAAACTGCACAGCTTCCCATTGAGAGCACTGCCTGGCAAGCTTCCTTTTGCTTGTCCAGCTAGGAATTTGGTGGGCAGGGTTAATATTAAGAATCTCTGTTCCCAGTCCTCTCCAATCTGCTCCTCCAATTCCTGCCGATAAGCCAGGCTAGCTGGTCTATCATCTTGCTCAGGAAGCGGTCTACCAAGCCTGCCACAGAGGATTGACTTGATTCCAACATCCCACCGCCAGCTTTTTTTGCCAGTTCAGCTCCAAGGAGATCTCACTTACTTCCCGTCCCCCCGTCCCCCCCCCATGGAAAAGTGCAGTATAGATTTACCGGATGTTCCCAGAGATGGGAGTGGAGGTGGGGTCAGAAGTTGGGAGCTTTTTACTGGAGTCAGTTGGCACTCTCACCTCTGGATCACAAGCTTGTGGGTCATATTGGTATTTTTGAGTTCACAATTGAGTCTGACATGCCGGTGTACTCCACTTGGCTATCTCAGGCTTGCTGCATGTCCTCCGCCTCTCCGCACCTGGAACTCTCTCCTTCTACCACTCTGTCTCACTCTCTGTCTCAGCCCCATTGACGAGCAAATGATCACCTCCTCCTTGCCTGGTGCCTAACACTGTCCTTGTGAAACTCTCCAAGATGTTACCCTAGATGAACTTTGGGCTTCGAATATTCTTTCCTCCCTGAGATTGGTGATATGAATTGTAACTGGTGAATCTGGAACTGATGTGCTGCCAGGCACCTTGGCCACGATGGGAGAGTTCAAACGGAGAATGGGGATCTGAACGGCGTTGCAGAGCGACACTTACAGGCTTCGTTATTTGCTAAACCTTCCGTAAATCTCGCAGCAAGTTCAGGGTTATTCCTCACGAGGCAAACTTTGCCTCACTAACTACTTACAGATGTATTATACAGCGAGGACAGGTCACGGTATCCATTGGGGAAATTAATATGTCTACTGCACGTTGCTGTGAAATTATATGATTTGTTCAATGATAAGCAAAGCTATGGAAATATTATCGGGCTTTCCAAGCAGTTTCCTGCTTGAATTGCAAATTGTACCAGCACAAATCTCTGGAATTTAGTTTGTTTAAACCCACGCGGAGAAAGAAATCAGCCTGCGTGAGTCTGCGGGACATGGAAAAAGGACTGTAACTTGGCTACTGAGTAAGTCTTCCTGCACCAGAGGGAGTGCTGAATCTCCACAGCACGCTGGCACCCCCTAGTGGTAGCAGAGCTGCTGTTGCAGTAGGATACTTGTCGTGCTGGCTCAGTTTGGTAGCAATCTTGCCTCCAAGTCAGAAGGTTGTAGGTTCAAGTCCCACATTGGGGTTTTGAACTCATGTAGTCTAAGACGGCACTCCAATGCATCCTTTGGATGAGAGGTTAATCCAAGGTCTCATCTGCCTGTTCAGATGGACGCTAAAGATCCCACGGCGCAATTCGAAAAGATAAGAGAGTTTCTCCCAGTGTCCAGGCCAGCAATTTCCCGATAAAACTGGTCAATCACTCCATGGCTGTTCACTGGATGCAAATTGGCTGCCACATCAGATTCAACTACAAATACCCAATTGCTATCAAAATTATGAAGTGCTGTGCAACGTTTCAGTATGATGAAACGTCATACCGAATACAACAACATCTAGTATTTATATAGCGCCCTTCACACTGGGTAGGGTCCTGGAGCCATTCACAGTGGCGGAGTCTGACAACGAGCTAGGGGGAGGGAGGTGACCCGTAAACACGATCAAAAAGGAAGGTCTTTAGGCAGGACTTAAAGGTGGGGAAGAAGGGGGAGGAATACAAGGATTATTATGGTGAAAAACATTTTTCAAACTGGACTGCCCCAGCTCCCAGCACTGAGACCTCCACCATGGAGAACAAGTCCAGTACAATGGGAATACTACCATCTTCAAGTTTCCCCCAACTGCCACCAAGTCACTTATGTGAACATATCCTGCCATTACTTCATTGTTGCTCGATTACTAGCCTGGAAACTCCCTAACCAGCACACGGTCCTTTTTGATTGTCTAACAAATACATTTTCTGGATATACCATAAATCAAGAAACATTCAATCAATATAGACTGGAAACGCACTATGGGGACTCACAGAGACTAATGCACATTTTCTACTTTTTGACTGCCCGAGGGCCACTTCTGGCCCACGGGCCATGAGTTGGCCACCACTGTTCTAAGCGAAACTTGTAATGGAGAATGAATGAATGCTGGTTGATCCTGTTAATGTTGCCCACATCCCAAAAGGATGTGGAAAAAAAAGCCACCTCAACTAGAGAAGGGAGTTTATCTCTCCAGGTGTCCTAGCCTATCCAACAATTCCCCCAAATAAATTGGTCATTTACTTCGTGGATGTTGGGGGGACACTGCTGTGCGCAAATTAGCTGAGGGGTTCACCCACAAGACACAGTCACTGCACTTTACAGTAAAATCTTGTGAAGTGCTTTGAGATACTCACTTTCAGGAATTCTATTCTCTATATAAATCGACCGAACTCCTTGATTAAGCTCCAGCCTCTAACTATTCACTCTTCTTGTGTACACATCTCTGGTTAATCTTTACTTCTTTGGTGTTGACTGTGCAACAGGAAACACAAAGCATAAAATATGCTGGCCAATATTATTTATGGCTGAAACATTAAAACAAGAAATGTAATCCCTTTGTGAACCAGATAATTCAGCCAAATATTATAAACTGAGAGAAGGAACCGTTTCTGAAACGAATTAAAAAGGTAAGAGATTCCTCCTGAGAAAATATTGAGGTTGTCAGAATCCTCACTTTGGCCTGATCGAAGTGGGCTGCAAAGTGTGCAGTCTCACACTCTGGCCTTTCGCTCTCCAAACAGAACATACACCACGCATTCCCAAGTCTCCATCCATCAGGGCTGTCTGCGTGTCTTAGCACTTCACTTCGAAACAAAGGAAGTGACATCTGTGCAAACACAGCCTCCCAAATCGAGCTGATGGAATTCAGGGAATGGATACAAACAAACAGCTTCCAAAAGGTCTGCAAATTATTAGCACCTTCTGTGCCCAAAAATCAACTGAATTCACTGAGGAATGGGAATTATCTTCCACGCTTCCATGCAATTTGAATTCCAATCTGCTGGCAGGAATAAATATATGAATTTCGAACAACCAAGCATTAAGCTTGGCTGTGATACACTTCTAATACTCATGCAGTTCATTTTTTTGTAAAGATTGATTAACTGCAGACAGCCTTGTGGGCAGGGTTACCAAGTGTGATTGGTATCTGTGGAACCAGCTCAAATCACTGTATGATGTAGAGGAGGGAAGAAAAGTTGTGCAAAAGATATACAATCTCCAAAGAAGCCTTGATGGTGTAATGGAGAATGGTAATTTACAGATAGGAGAATGCTCGTTCGAATCCTCCAATCATTCTGTTATTTCTTTAATTCTTGCTTCCGGACTCCCTCACTGCCCAGTCACTGTACAGCACTGCAGAGCTCACTGTTCGGGTCATGTAAAGGTTTGTGAAGTACTTGGAGAGTGTTGTATTATCAGAGAAGCAGCACCCCCCCCCCCAGTTGAGACTCTACAACAAGATCTTGCCTGCTTGTTAAGATGATCCTGCGGAAACTCATGATTGGAAATGTGAGTTTTTCAGTGTCTTGACCAACAATCCTCCAAGTAAAATTGGCCAATGATAACATGACATTATGGGACTTCAAGGTGTGTAAAGTGGATGCAGCGTCTGCTGACAAAAAGTCACCAAACTGTGAAGTTCTTTGAGATGTACCAACACTCCGAGAAAAATTGTAAAACAAGCCCTTGAGGTGAGTGATATATATACAACGGACAGAAAAGACGCTTGCGATAGGAAATAGAAATTCCTTGAGAAATCCTTCGGTTTGGGTGAAGAAGGCCAATTTCATCCTTCCAGAATACCCACCTTTCTTCCATCTATTGCAGTATCAGCTGTTTCTAAATGAGTCCAGTGTTCTAATCTCGACCCCCACCCCTTCGTGGTAACCTGTTACAGTTGTTAATTGTCCTCTGCTTAAAGAAATATCTTCTGGTGCCTGGGTCCTGAAATTGCCCTTCACATCCCTGATCTTCTTGTCCTGCTGCCTTAGTGCAGCTGAATGTATTGTCTTGGGTTTACTTTTGCAATCCCATTTACATCTTGTACACCAACATAAGGTTCTTCTGAGACATTGTCTCTCAAGACAAGAGTCCTAGCTTCTTATCCTTACCATAGCTCGTTCCTCTAGCACTGAGATCATCCTCGTTGCTCTCCTCCACACTGCCTTGAGGGCCTGGATTGTGTACAGTATTCGCGGTTTAGCTTGACAACTGCGCTGCTCACCGCATGACTTCTGGGGATGTGATCTCAACTGATACAGCAATACGTCACAGCCCAGTATTCTGTCCATCTTATCTCAGGAAGTACACTTAACCTCTCATGTCTGAGCAAGTCTGAGATGTTAATCACTTTTTTCCAAGTCTACAAACTCAGCAACTCAAATCCCAAGCCATTCGGACAAAAAGGGCAGAAAGCTGCATGAAGGATACTGAAACTGAATGGGACTTTTCCCTCCCTTCTTTCCAGGAAAATGTTTCTAAAGCAAAGAGGAAGCCGGAGAGACAATAAAGCAGCCAGCACAGCAATCGCTTCCCAAAGAAAAACACAGCCACATCAGAGGCTGGCATCTCCCACTGTGAGCTCTCTGCGCTCCCGCAACTCATCTCGCTTCAAAAATAATAACCTCTCACTCTCCCCCCCAAAAAAAAATCAATATTTATTGCTGATTCAGCCTGAATTTGTTTTGATACGAGCAGCCCAGTGACTCCTTGGAACAGGATAGTATTATTTGCAGTTGCTGCTTCCCTGCATCCAGCTCTATTTGTTTTCCTGAGTCGATGTCTTTTATGTCGGGTTTAGAGTGGCAGCTGTCCAGGTTTGCACACATCCTTATCTTTCCTTTGACAGCAAGTGTTACACTCCAGATCTCAGGCTCTCCCAGGAGTCAGCTCAGACACAGCGAGGTGATGCTGAACATATAGAGGGCCCCGCTCCTGGGTCCCCCCCCCTAACCCTAGCATTCAGTTCTGATCACCATGTCACAACATTGGAACCACCACATCAGCATCAGCCTGTTAAACAGGAGGATCTGCCAATGGTTATTTGCCCTGAAACTATAGCTGGTGGCCGCAAGCACCACTTTATCAGCTGAGTCAAGCAGAGCTGATTTGAGGTATACATAAAGCCCACAAAAAGCAACCTTTCCCAAGGTAACACTCCAGCCAGTGACACCGAAGGCATCAAGGCTCTCGCTGGCTAGATCATCGCTGCTTGTTAAAGTGGTGCTTGTCGCTATCCACAGTGTGGCACATTTCCAACCTCAGGCGAGGCCTGTCCTGGCCAAGTTTTTTTGCACACGGGCCTCCCTTGATGTCCTAGCAACCGTGGGAACAGTAGCCAGCTGCCAGAGCGCATGCGCAGCTCACAGGAGGAGACATCAACAGTGACCTGACAACCCAGAAGTGCTGACCAGAGGCCATTTCAGTTTGCAGATCGCATTCTAAACTTGAGAGTCAGAGTTTATGCTCACAAACCACCGGATGTAACAGCGTTGGCCTGTGTGTACGAGCATGTCACCTGCTCCTCCCTTTGCAAGTCACGCATGTGTTCGGTGCAATCCCAAAGCAGAGTCTAAACTCCGCAGGATTCGTACACAAATCTACAGTATTTCTAAAGAAAGCCATGCTTGACGCACCAAAAAGCTCTTATCTTTCCCAGCAGGTTTATGGCGAGGGCACACTGGTCAACACAAACCAGTCGCCCAACGTGTCTGAACAACATCAGACAGAAGTATCTGGCTCATTAAGCTGTCAAGGTGGGCACTGATGGCTTGTAGATGTCTAATGGTGCCCATCGTGCCCAAGGTGGGTCTGAAATGCCACGGAAGGCTTGCTCCCGCGCTGCCCCTACCTGCAACAATCGGGCTGCACTGGGCTCCACGCAGAACGGTGTGTTTGCTGCATTCCTGTCAGGTGGTGGCTGTGGCAGGCCTTCCAGCCAGGAGATTTTCAGGGGATTATCCGTTAAACCCAACTCGTTCTTAAAAGCCAATTCCTGCCCGGAAAACGAAAGAAACAGAAAAAAATTAGGAACATCAATCTTAATAATATTTAAAACAAATAAGCAACAAAGAATTTATTGATTAACTGCAGGTTTATTGACCTCTACCTCTGTTCTGTAGGACATGAAGTTTGAGCTGGGAAGCTCACAACAACCTCCATGGCAATTCATTCCACCCTCTGATAATTCTCTCGCCCATGGTATTGCCCTTAGCACGTTTCCTCTAGTCCTTGTTCTATTCTAACAGAAACCTGAATAAACTCTGCTCCTTGCAACATTAATTGTGTGAGGCGTCACCTCTAGTGTGTTTTGTTAGAGGCTAAAATGTTAATTTATTCTCTAATCCCAAACTATCAAGACTGATGAGCAACACAACCTCAGACACAAATGCTGCAACAAGGACTGAAGCCAAGAAGGTGACATCATCTGTCAGATAATTCTCTCACAAACATTTGTGGAAAATTCAGCCACTCCCGTACCCCACTCTCCTCCCCAGCTCGTACCCCTTCCCCTCGTATCCTGCTCCCCCATACTTACCCCACTTGTCCTGTATCCCCTCCCCCACACGTACCCCGCTGACCCCTGTATCCCCTCCCACACACGTACCCCTCTTCCCCCATACACCCTCGCCTACAGATACCTTGCTCCCCCCCGTACCCTCGCTCTCCCACACATACCCCGTTCCCCATGTACCCCCCCCCCATAGGTACCCCACTCCTCCTGTACCCCCTCCCCAACCTTCCCCCCTTACCTGCCTGTCCCCCCTCCTCCCACCGCCCATCTCCCCCTTCTCCCCCCACCTGTACACCCCTCCTCCCTACGCCCTTAAACCCCTCCTTCCCCTGCCCGTACCCCCTCCCTGTACCCCGCTCCCCTGTACTCACAGCTGCTTTGACGGAGGAGAATTCCGCCACAGCACTTCCCTTCTTTTTACTGGACACCAACAAGTTGAGAATCTCTCCGTACTGTGCAGAGAAAAACCCAATGTTACCGCGCTGCCGCAAGTGTAAACCATCGTCACGTTTCAGTGAATTCCTCAACACATCTGTGAGAAGATGAGCAACCTTAGTGATGTGAAATGACAGAAAGGCTCAGTTCAGGAGGCCATTCGGCCCCTCGTTCTGTGCACTCTGCCTCGGTTTATTTTAAATCACCGCTTTGTGAATCCCTCTTCCCAGTTCTCTTATAATGGTGAAAACATTATAAGCCATTCTTACATGAAGTGTAGTGACTGTTTATTTATAGGCTACTGAGATGGCCACACAGATGATTCTGCTCACTTTGGAGCCAGTTCAGCAGCCCGCCCCGCAAAGACCCTCTCACCTTCCCCTCGTACTCATGGAGGAGCAAACATAAGACACTGATACAATGGCTGAATGGCCTCCCAGTTTGTGGTGGGCTTCTGTGGACCGTTGGGACGACCACATGTGGACCCGTTCAGCTTGTTTGTTTAAAAATAAAGCGAAATATAAGACTTCAGAGACAACACTCCAGGGATTGCAGCAGAATTAAAAGTAAAAGAAGGTTCTGACTTGTGTTGAATCTCAATAGATATATATTAAATCAACCTTCTCTCTCTGTCCATTTCCTGCCAACCCCACACCCTGAACGACCAGGAATCATTTTTCCAGATGTTACGAGGTGGGAGGTTCCTATTCTGAAGAAGTGCATCGGAACGTGAGGGGCAACGACAGGATAATGGGGGGGGGGTGGAATCTGGTCAGCGCTCTGGGGGAGAAGGGAGAGAGAGCGGGGCTGGGGGAGCTGTGGGGAGGGGATGGGAGGATCCAGTTCTCTCACAGCCGGCCTGGCTCTCAGAATGAAGAGGAGAGTGCTGGGAGAGGAACCTTACCTTCTGTAAAATGGAAAGGAGAAACTGGTGTGAGTATCCACCATTTGTCTCGTCATCCTTCTTACATTTCCACTTGAGCTGTTGAAGACAGAGATCAAGACAACATTATCAACGTAGCTCAGTGTTGATCTCTTCCCTCCAGATGCCAACCGTTTCATTCCACCATCACAGCATCAAGCTGTTTTTTATACTGACCTCAACCCTCCTTCCTGGCAAACTGTCCCAGTAATTAATTAGCCTCTTGGTAAAGAAAAACTTTGTGGCGTCTATCCTGAAATTGCCCTTTACAACTCCAAACCCAATGACCAACTTTATCCAGGGTATTAAAGGCCAGGACATTGAGAGAAACTTTCCTCTCCCTTCAATCAGTGCCGTGGGATCTTCAACTTCCACCCGAAAGGCAGACGGGAATCTCGCCCAGTATCTCACTGAAGCACAGCAATCCAGCAGTGCAGCCCTTTCTCATTGTACTGGAGGTTCAGTACAGACAATGAACTCAACCATCTGACTCAGCTGACGGAGGCCAGAGTTACATTGTGCTACACTGCAAACAAGACTTACTTTCAGTTTAGGGGTCGGACTGCTGTCAGATTCAGGTCGGTTTTCAGAGCCTAAGAGAGATAAAGAGGTAATAAATGAAAACTAGGGTCGTCTCAAAAATAACAAGTATCACAAGTACGAGACAGTTGTCAAATTCTGTGATTCAAAATACAGCTCTCAGGGACTAATCAACTTAGAAGCAGAGAAAATACCATCCAACGTAGTGGATATATTTTTATTCCTTCCTATGTTTAACATACAGAACACAGGAACATAGGAAAACAGGACCAGGAGGAGGCCGTTCAACCTGTTGCACCAATTTGTTGGATTTGGGCAGATTTGCCCCTTAATCATTACCCACAAGATGGTTCTTCAGCCCATTGTGTCTGTGCTGGTGCTCACTGCCCATGGAGCTCTCTACTCTAATCCCATTCCCTGCTTCCTCCCCATTGTGTCTGTGCTGGTGCTCTCTCCCCCACTTGAGGAGTGATGATTTACCTTGTGATCGCTGCTCCCTCTCCACACTGATCTGTTGCTGGATGAGCCTCTGTTGTTCCTCTAACTGCCTGGAGCCCTCCTCCCTGAGTCGGGCAATCTGCAAGAGAACGGCAGGCCTTGTTAGCATTGGAACTGGGAATTTAGGAAAAAGGAAGAGCTGTGTGATGTTAAGGAGCTGTGGGAAGGAGTGGAGTGGAGGTGCTGGCTTGTCTGTCTACACCTTGGGTTCCTACTTGATACTGACAGCCTCTGTGGAGCAGGGATGAGGGCAATCAGCATAAAATATGACTTCATAGCACAGTTTACCGCACAGAAATAGGCAATCGATTCCGCGTTGGGTCTTTTCCTTCACACGAGTGACCTAATTTAATCCGATACCCTGCTCGCTTCTCCCCCTCATCACCCTTCATAATTCCTCTTTGTCAAGAGCCTATTGATTCGCTTTTAAACGAAGCTACACAATCTGCCTGAACAAGGCTGTGGCCAAGAATTCCACAGTCCAATCACTCTCTGTGTGCTGGGGAGCCCAGGGGTGAACATTGATTAATGGGTATTGGTTAAGGAGAATGAATAGAATGGAACAGGGCAGCAGAACAGAATAGCCTCTGTCGCTGTGAGCTGAGATTCTCTGACACACGTCCCACCAGCTCCAGTTACCTCTGAATAACCACCCCATAAAGATCTCCGAGTTACAGCGCAGAGCAGGGCCCTCGATGATTTATCTGATAGAAGACAGCTGAGAGCGACTTCGGAGAAGATGAAACACCGAGGGATTCATTTTCTGAGGTCTGCTCTGCTGTGTTTGTTTTTATTGAAAAGGATCTGGCCCCAGCGACCAATCCCAGGAAGCTTTTTTACAAATCCCGTCAACAGCACAGGCTGTCCATTATCTCAGGAGCAGGAAGCACGTTCCCTCCTGCGCTGTGGCAGGTCTGGAGCGCCCCCTGCAGAACTCGAGACAAAGTGCATCGAAAAGTTACAATGAGCTGTTACGGAAAAGTTCAAAGCAACTCAAGGCCATTAGAGGCTGTTCCACAGCAACAACAACAACAACAAGATTGCATTTATAGAGCGCCTTTCACGTCAGGAGGACGTCCCAAGATGCAGGACAGTTGGGTCGGGACCCAATGGCAATAGTTCCAGTTGGCAATAGTCATTTGAAACGATACATATCGAATTTTAACACACTTTTTCTTCTTGTTTCTTACCATCCTCTCTTTCCTGGAGCTGTTATGATTATTATGTTTTATTTTGTGTATTTTATCATAGAAAGATTACAATGACACCATTTGGGACCTCTATTTATCCGAAGGACGGCACTTCTGACAAAGTGACACACCCACAGCATTGCGTTGCAGCACCAGGTTAGACTCTTGTGATTCCATGTCCCGACGTGGGTATTAAACCCACAACCTTCTGACCCTCTGTGCCAGACTGATACATAATGCTGCTTCTAACTAGCACTCAAACCATAACAGGGTGACAGACAGCACTGCGTGCACACTTTTCACTTTATAACCCCGCGGAACTAAAAAGCAATTCAGATAAAAAAGTAAAATAAGAGCTGCCTTGAAATAATCTGTGATGAAAATCCCTCTTCTATGTACTCTGCCTTGGATTCAACCCAAGAACCCAGTTGAAAGAGTGAGGTTTCAATCCACTGAGTTACTATGGCTCCTCTTTCTATAACACTGCTTCTCTCTACTGTATTTAATTAAGCCATTAAGTAATCGAATACCACAGGGTTCGAACTCTCTCAATATGCTATATGGATGGAATTACCAAAGGAAGGTATAAAATCTCCATAAATCAGCGTTCAGCAATTATGGTTCTTAATAAATGGGAGATCCGAGCAGTCTCACAATCAATTTGACTTGAAGCTTGTCTGTAAATAGAATGCCTGTACAACTCTGAGCCAAGGGACTTTCTGAACAAAACTCCCCAAATGTACAGCTCGTCACATGAGTAAGTGTGGGGCAGACCCCAGTACCTTCAGGAGTTTTAAGCTATACCGAATTAAAACAAAATTCCTTGAAGTTATTAAATTAAAAACATTTAGTACACGATCTCATCCAAAACTGCACGAGACAAGCCAAGTTCCCATCTCTGCCTGTTCAAGAGGATGTTACTTAGCCTGTGGCATTACTTGAAGCTCCTATAAAACGCTTTGCGGTGTCGTCCTGACGTGAAAGGCGCTACATCAAATGCATTGATTATTATTAAAATATAATACATAATAATAATCCTTGCATTTGACATAGCGCTTTTGACATTTTCTAGATGTCTCAAAGCACTTCACAAAATATACTGTAAAGTGAATTTACTGTATATTTGTGGGCAAAATGCGTACAGCAGACAAACAGTCATGGATTGAAGTGACCAATTTATTATTGTTTTTTCTTGAGGGATTATTTTCAGGCGTGTGGAGTAAGGAAACGTGCCCAGGGTTTTGCCCTGCTGGGAATGAAACTCAGGTCTCTCGCTTGCGAGACGTGCACTCTAACCTCTGAGCTACAAGACTCCACCGCATTCCTGTTTGTACCAACATTTCAATTCAGAGGCCAGAATGGTCCGTGCCCTATGTCTGAAGATGAGCTAACTGCCAGCCTCGGACAGACACAATCCACAATGTTGCTGTGGGCCTCTGATTGACATGCTCTGAGTCAGAAAACTGGCAGTGAGTTTAACCTGAACTTTTTATGAGACAGTCAAAGAATGGTCATGTTTAGTTAACGGGAGATCATATTACACAGTGGTGGGGGCATAGGAACAGAGCGAGACTAGGGAGAACAACCTTAAGAATCTACCACAAAGTACCAGGCCATTTGACCCACTGTATTAGTCATTGTTCCTGCAGTGGAGCCATTGATATGATGAGACAAATCATTAGATTTTCACCAGAATGAAGCGCAGCCGATAGAGGCTGTACATGCTGATTTCAGTTCCAGTTCTGCCTCTGTATTATCACTGGGGAAAATGTGTTGGTTAAGGCTCAGCTGGAGCACTGCATGTGGTTCTGGGCATTTCAGCGCAGCAATGGAAAGGGCACAAAGGGAACTGGATGAATATTTGAAGAGGAACAATATAAAAGGGCATGAGGAAAGAGGAAGGAATGGGCTTGCTAGGTTTCTACTCAGTTTCAGGACAGACAAAGTGACTGTCTGTTTTGAGATTATTTTAAGTAATATAAAGGACTTTTCTATCCCACTTTGTGTACAAAACTACCAATACTCACAACGTGCATTTACATAGCGCCCATCACGTAGGAGAATGTCTTGGAGCACGTGATAAGAGACTGGGTCAGACGTCGGGGGAGAAGGGATGGTTGAAGAGGTATATTTTTAGGGGGAATTAAAGACAGAGGGGGCAAGAGGAAGGAGGGGTTTTCTTTCTTTCCCCTTCCCACCCCACCTTGATTTGCACCACAACTCAGGGGCTCAGCCAGCTCTGTGAATACCCTTTGACACGTCCTCCTGACCTGAAAACTGCTGTATAAATTACAATTGGTAAATTGTATAACTGTAAATTATGCTGTATTGTAGAGGGAGGAGTTCCAGTGGGTAGGGGCATGGTTGCTAAAGGTTGTCTTTACAAAGAATTAAGGACCATTAAAAAATAATTTTTTTTCATTTTACTCACAAAATAAAAATCTCGCCTGTCTCCGCCAATACCTCTCTCCGAAAGCTGCTGAAACCCTAGTCCATGCCTTTGTCACCTCTCAGCTGGACTATCCTGACGCCCTCCTCGCCGGCCTCCCATCCACTACCATCCATAAAATCCAGATTATCCAGAACTCTGCCGCCCTCATTCTCACCCGCACCAAGCTCCGTTCCCCAATCACCCCAGTCCTTGCTAGACTGCATTGGTTGTCTGTCCCAGAGAGGATCGACTTCAAGATACCCCCCCCCCGACCTCCTCTCTCCTCAAAACAGTATCTGTTATCTTTGTTCCTCCGGATCTGGCCTCCTCCTCGTTCCCCGAGTCCTCTGCTCCACCCTTGGCAGCCGTGCCTTCAGCCACTATGCCCCGAGGCTCTGGAATTCCCTTCCTCACTCCCTTCGCCTCGCTCTCTCGCTTCCTATTTTCAGGTCCCTGCTGAAGACCCTTCGCTTCGACCATACCTTTGGTCACCTTCCCCCCACTCCCCCTGGCTCGGCACCGGGATCCGTTACTGTAAAGCGCTCTGAGACGCCTTCCAGTGTGGAGGGCGCTATATAAATCCTTTTTATATACTATTACATAAATGTTGTTGTTATGTCAAAAATGAGGGGGAAATCAGAAGAGGGCGGGTAAAACAACCTCCCTCCCCCCCATTTCTTGATTGTAACTTGTGATGTATTTTGTACACTGTGATTTGAGCACATTCCTGGAACTGACAGCGTGGATAGAAGTGACAGGAGGCGTGTGTGCATCATCACACTCTCTGGGGACAAAATGGGTTTTAAAAATGAAATTCAGGTGAAAATTATTTGTTTTTTTACCAACTGACCATCCTCCAAAAATATATTTATCAATGAAAATCAGTAAAAAAATAACCCATGGTCCTTACACACGAGGTAATCATTGGTTTGAACACATTACCAGGTTAGTGGAAGGTGAGATGCTGGCTTAAACGCTGTAAAATTCAGATAGATTGTGCCTCCTCCACTCACCACTTCATCTAAACTCTTTGTAATCTTAATCTCGTCTTCTTCGTTCAGCTGGGCTTCTCTTTCCCGGGCTTCCAAGTCTGAAATTAAACAGTTGTGTCACTCATCGATACCGGTGTCAGGTTTGACAGGGGATGTGGTTGGGCAAACTGACCATCACACATGTGTCCCAGTACTGGGTGGGAAAGGTACTTATCACGTGTGTGAAGGGGTCACGGGAATCCATGATAGTGAGTGGGACACGGCCCCTAACCTGTGCTAGAGTATCAGATTGTCTGTGAGCTAAATCCTGAAAGGGGGCTTTGATCTTCTAACCCAGAGGTGCAAAACAACCCATTAAGCCAATCAGAAGCATCTGACCTCCCCTTGGCTCAGGGAGAGTTGGGCAGCTTGGAGGTTCTTGGGGTTCACTAGCCCAAACCTATGTCCCACTACTTGGTGATTACTCACATTCTCCCTCAAGCTGCTGCTGCTTTACCGGCGGGGACAAGTCACCGTTAGCTCCTCACTTACCGAGCTTCACCTTCTTTCTCTTATCGTCGAGTTTCCGGGTTCTCTCAGCTGCCTGCTTCTTAGCTTTTCTGATCTGATCATAGGCCGCCTTAAAGAGGGGAGCAAAGGACAAAGTCAGCACGTGCATATTGTACAGAAGGGAAAAGAGCGATGTACAGCTTCAGTTTGAATCCTGCAAACCTGTTGTATACATTTACACAGAGGGATGATCAGACTGTGAGTTTATACTGTATATCTGGAGAACCAGCTACCCACAGGTGAAAGCAGCAGCCAATATGTACACAACAATGTCCACAAAGAGTCACAAAGTGAATGACCAGGTTATGTGGGGGATTGTTGAAACTCCCTTCACTTTTTGAACAGTGTATTGGGACCTTTATCGTCCACCTGAACAGCAGACGGGATCCTCACCCACGCATTCGTCACATCAAGGCTCCCTCCTCATCGGCCTTCCCAACTCTTCCCTTCACAGGCAGCAGATCATCCAAAACTCTGCAGCTTGTGTACTCTCGTGCACCTGGCTCCACGACCCCATCACTCCCATCCTCGCCCAACTCTACTGGCTCCCCATCCCCCAGAGGATCGAATTCAAGATCCTCGTCCTCATTTTCAAGGCCATCCATGGACTTGGCCCCTCCTACCTCTCTGACCTCTGACTCCCTGCCAACCTGCCCGCTCCGTCCGTTCAGCGGGCTCCAGCCTGCTCCATCGGTGGCCGGGCTTTCAGCCTCTCTGCCCCCACATTCTGGAACTCCATCCCACGGTCCCTTTGCCTCGCTTTCTCCCTTGCCTCCTTCAAGGCCAGTCTCAAGACCCTCCTCTTCGATCGTGCCTTCAGTCGCCCTCCCACCTCTCTGACTTCCCTCACCCCTACCCCACCCCTCCCCCATGCTCGGGTCCTGACCCCTAACTGTCCCTCGCCTTGGGACGTCCTCCAGACGTGAGCTCTATAAATGTAATTTTGTTGTTGTTGTTGTTAGTTTAAACTCGTAACTGAATGATGGAACCTCCGACAATGCAGTGAACTCACAGCACTATACTGACATGTTAGCTTGGACTGTGAGTAGCTGTCATGGGGTGGGGGGGGCTGACAACCTGTAACAACAACAACAAAATTACATTTGTATAGCGCCGAATGGATTCTGCATTTAATTCTCAATACAGTTCCCAGTTGAGATTAAACGTTCTACTCATGCTGTCAGTGCATCACACCAGCTCCTCTTACCTTGGCTGCTGCATCTGTCAGAACTTCCAGTGCCTGGGACAACTGATGGAAAAGATCGGCTGCAAACCCAGAAAACAAAAGGCAGAGTATGAGTGAGAGGACGGAAACATTGGACATAGAATGTGAAAGAATGAAATCAGCAACAACAGCAAATTTACGTTATATAGCGGCAGTCGCGTCGTCGGGAGGGCATCCCAAGGCATTGGACAATCCAAGGTTTTCATCCGAGATGTGGGTGTGGGACTGGGAAGGAAAGACAACCGAAGGCGCAGTCAAAGAGGAAGATTTTGAAATCGATCTTGAAGGAGGCGAGGGAAGGGGTGCGTTGTAGGGACTATGGTATGAAGATCCAGAGAGTGGACGCAGATACGCTGAAAGCCTGACCATTGATGATGGATCAAGGCACAAGGAGCAAGCCAGTGACTGCTGAGTGGAGGGAACAGTCAGATTGGTAGGTTTTGAGGAAGTTGCAGAGATAGGCTAGGGTGAGACCATGGAGGGATTTAAAGGTGGGAATGAGGACCTTGAACTCAATCCTGAGAGATGGGGAGCCATTAGAGCAGGGTGAGGAGTGGGGCTGATAGACTTGCGGAGCCTAGTGCAGGAAGGACGCAAGCTGCAGAGCTCTGGATAGTCTGCAGCTTGTGAAGAGAAGAGCTGGGTAGTCCAGCGAGCGGAGAGTTGGTGCAGCATCAGTTGTTGCAGTAGTCAAAGCTGGACATGCTGAATGTGTGGATTAGGGTCTCAGCAGCTCGAGGGGAGAGGTAGTGGCAGAAGCAGGCTATGGCAGGGAGGAAGCTGAGGTCCAAAGGGCAGTTGGGAGTCAAACAAGGTAATGAGGTTTTGCACTGCCTCCACGAGAACATTGTCAAACTAGTAGATATTAAACCAGAGAGGACTGACGATGAAGCCCTGAGGAACGCAACAAAGCGGGGCAGTAGCAGAAGCCATTTGAAGAGACAAAGTGGGATAGCTCAGAACTAAATCAGGAAAGGATAGAACCATGAAGGTGGACCTGAGAGGAGAGGCAGGGGAGAAGGATAGTGTGACCAACAGTGTTGAAGGAGGCAGAGAAGAAAGAGGAGACAGAGAGAGCCCTGGTCACAGGTAGAGAGAATGCCATTGATGACTTTGATCAGCTCAGTCTCGGTACTGTGGATAGAGCGGAAACCGTATTGGAAGAGTTCATGCAGAGTGTGCTGGGAAAGGAAACAGCTAAGCTGGGAAGCCACGACTTGTTCCACTGAGAGAAAAGGCAGATTGAAGATGGGGCGGTAGTTAGGAAACAAGGATGTTTTTTGAGAAGGGGGTGATGACTCTCAGAGAGAGATGAGATGGGGGAGAGGTAAGGATATTATTGTACATTTTAGAGGCACCACTGACCCACCTGCTTTGGAATTGTCTGGGTTTTTGTCGGGATGACATTTCAATGCCTTCTGTCTGTACGCTTTCTTAATCTGCCAACAGAAAATTAAAATAATTCTACACATCAGGCATCACAATCTACCTGCAAATAAAAACAACTTTTTACTTTATTTTTGATAAAGTAAAAGGTTCGCCAATTTCGCCAATTTATTTTGCCAATTTCCACTTCTTCTGTCCTGAAAAGGACGACTGAAAACAGAGGCCAGACCCCACGCACCTCTCTTCTTGGAGACCAGAAAGTTAGACTCCACCAGTTACTCCAACACACACGCAGGGGTACCCAAGCCTTGGCTCTTGCCAACCCGTGCCTAATACTTTCCGGAATTAACTAAGCAGGATGCGTCCTCTAGGGAGAGAGTGCCATCACTTTCCAACAATCTATCCCTGGAATTTCCATGTGTAGGTGGGATGCATGGAATTCTCAGTTTGGTTTGGATATTCTTATGCATGGTGATAGGTTTCCCCATGTGTCAGGTACCTGACTGACCCAAATAAAAACATTTATATAGCGCTCTACAAACTGGGAAGCGTCATGGAGTGCTGACTGTAGTTTGACAGTCAATGTTGGCTAATGGATCGGGCACAAGGAGGCCAATTGTAGCCCCAACACATCTCAGCAAAGGACAATTTGTATTTATATAGTGTTTTTCACATCGGGAGCACATCTCAAAGGGAACAGACAGTTTTGAAATTATTGAATTATAGAATCCTGCAGCACAGATGGAGACAATTCGGCCCATCGGGCTTGTGGTGACTCTTCGAAAGAGCTATCTAATTAGTCCCACTCCCCCACTGTTTTCCCATAGCCTTGCAATTTTTTCTTTTTCAAGTACACATCCAATTCCCTTTTGGAATTTATGGGAAAAAAAATTCAAAGATCCTCCAATAGGGCTGGATCTCAACCTTATCTGACTCTCTGAGGGTTAACAGCATCAGTTACCATTCTGCGACAAACAGGTTTGTCTAATTAAATATCGATGCTACTTTGCCAAAAAGAAATTGAACTTTGAGGTCTGGTTGCAATTGTGGTTTTGAACAGAGAAATCACAGTGATCAAACAGTGGGGCATGTGCTGTTGGCTTATTATCATTGCTTGTGTTGGGAACTGCAGTAAGAATCACCCATTTTGCTGTGGGGCAGATTACACTGAAACCTGCCTGGAAATAAAAAGGCCTTCAGCACGAAAGACCTTCACTGCTTTAGCCTGTTATTGTATTGAAGCGTGTCAGTGCACTTCACAGCAATTATTTTCAAGTGTAGTGAACGTTTTTAGTAAGCGATTGTGACAACTGTTTTGCAGAAAGCAATGTTCCACATGCAGCCAAGAGATGAATGAGTAGCTTTTTTTTAAACTGGAACATTTTTGACCAGGAACTGGTCTTTTCTAATAGTGCCGTGTCCAAACAAACAAACAAGACCTCCGATAATGCAGCTGGGGATTATCTCATTGCTCTGCGCTGCCTCTAGGAACTGGGCAATCTCGTGTCTACAACCAAAACTGCATGCGGTATTCTCAGGCTAGTCTGGCACTGTACAACTTGACCATGTCTTCTGGGGATCTGAACTGAACTAAGTTGGCAACACAGCCCAGCACCCTGCTTGGTTGTTTATTGAAATCTACCCATCCCTTTACAATTAATCAGAAAATCTGGTAATGAGGAACGTGTTGTAGATGCTGTGGTGAACACAAGGAAACGCTGTTATAATGCCCTTCACTAGGGCTCTGTCACCTGGTAAGGGCAGGTAGGAAACAGACCCTGATATTTTGTGATGTATGTAAATCCCATTACCTCAAGATATCAAAAAAAATAATAATGATTTGGTCACTCAATCCACGATTGTGTGTGGGATACTGCTGTGCGTAATTGGCTGCTGCGTTTCGTCCCCAAAATATAGTCAATTCACTTTACAGTATAATCTCTGAAGCGCTTTGAGATGCCTCAACGACGTGATAAGGCGCTATATCAAATGCAAGTATTATTATTATATTATTATATCATTTGAGTTAGGACTTGGACCATCATCAGATCCAATATTAAACCTCTACTCCTCTTGAAATGATTTCAACGAGATCAGAGGGCAGTCCCAGGGCCTCTCTTCACGATTAATTGAAACATGGCACCAAGACCAGGGACCAAACATTATGTGCTCTGTGAACCATTTCTGTTTTACTTGGAACCGTTGGCTTACAGACGCTCTTGATGGGACACTATCCATGCTTTGTGCTGTTGAGTGGAGGACCGCCGCCAAGCAAAGGGTTGCTGGAGAGCAGACAGCTTTGGCAGGAGTGGCAAATGAAGCTGAACACAGCAACAATCAAAATAAATTTGATGCATGTCTGAAGAAGACAAATATAAAAGAATAATAATCCTTGCATTTGATATAGCGCTTTAGCACGTCTTCGAGATGTCTCAAAGTGCTTCACAGAATATACCGTAAAGTGAACTGACTGATATTTTGTGGGCGAAACACGGCAGCCAATTGCGCACAGCAGTGTCCCACAACCAGTTGTGGATTGACCAATTTTTAAAAAAAAATATAAGCAGTTTGTGGAGAGAATTGGGATTAGAGTAGTTCCGTCCAGTAGGTGAGTGAGCACCAACATAAGGACTGAGGTCTTTCTGTGAGGTCTGTAATCCTATTCTAGGATGGTCTACAAAAATCGTACAAGCTAAAATTTATATCTGGTTTAAAGCTGAATTAAGGCATAAGGAAGTGATTCTGGGGAAGTGAATGAATACACTCGCTTCTTTCTTTCTTTGTACAGCAATTTTGCCGGATTGAATGGCAGGATCGCCAGGACCTTCTTGCTGGGTGGCAGTGAGCAGGTCTGGCCGAGCTCAGCTCTAGGCTGATCTACTGAACTTGATCAGGTTTCTCTTTTGGAGCTGGGGACGTTCCAAACAACCAGTGGTCACCATTGCCAAGTCAGTGACACGCTCAACATCTGGAGTACTTCCCCTCATGTTTCCAGATGTTTATCAAATTTTAAATTAGTCTTTGCTCAGCTTGTGGAAGGAGAAACTGGATCATTTATAACTTGGCATGTAAGCTCCAGAGAACAGACAAGCCTGCCAGTTACTGCAGCTAAGCAACCAGTCATCGCCACACACAATGCACATCAGAGATCTGTACTAGCAAATCAAACAGCGCATGCGGACTCCTCACAGTCAGCTCTTAATGCACAAAAGAATAACTCTCAATAGCCATAATAATAATCCTTGCATTTGATATAGCAACGTATCACGTCTTTGAGACGTCTCAAAGCATTTCACAGAGTACACTGTAAAGTGAACTGACTATATTTTGTAGCCGAATCATGGCAGCTAATTGTGCACAGCAATGTCCCGCAAACAGTCGTGGTTTGAAGTGACCAATTTTTTTTGAAAGGAGTTATTACAACCGGAAAAGCGATCCGCCAATCAACTAACAACCAGTTCCTACTTACTGCTAGCTAAATGAGACTGAGCAATACTAAACCTGGAACAATACTATCAGATCCACCAGGCTTGCCGGACAGACACAGATGTTTGACATAATAATTACGTTTGCTCGAGGACCTCACAACTGCCTTATTTTGTGGCATTCTTGCCTCCGAGTCAGAAAATTGTGCGTTCCAGCCTTATATTGGGACTTGAACTCACAAGTCTACGCTGACACTCCAGTGCAGTGCTTGTGGAGTGCTGCATTGTAGGAAGTGCAATCCATTGGAAGAGACGTCAAACCAAGGTTCCGGTAGACGTTATAGAAGCTATGGCACTATGCAAAAAGAGAAAGAGGTTTTCCAAGTATCCTGGCCAATGCTTCCCCAAATTAAAATTAGTTGCTGACTTCAAGGCTGTTCATGTAAACCCATTGAAGCGCTTTGAGTACTCGTGGAGTCCTGTAGCTCAGTGGTTAGAGCACTCGCTTTGCAAGCGAGAGACCTGAGTTCAATTCCAGGCAGGTCAGGGCGAAACCTTGGGCAAGTTTCCTTACTCCACACAGAGCCTAATAATAATCCCTCCAAAACCAAAAACAATAATAAATTGGTCATTTTCAATCTACGACTGTTTGTGGGACACTGCTGTGTGCAATTGGCTGCCGCGTTCGCCCACAAATATACAGTCAATTCACTTTACAGTGTGTTCTGTGAAGCGCTTTGGGACGTCCTCCCGACCTGAAAAGCGCTATATCAAATGCAAGGATTATTATTATTATTATTATTACTTTCGACAATGTGATATATGGCACAATATCAAATGCAAAAGTTATTACCGGCTGGAGTTTGGCCAGCAGCATTAAGAGGAGTCAAGTGGGAGGAATCCCAGCTCCAAGTTTCTGCAAGTCCTGCAGATACGCGACAGGCTAGTTTACGTCATCAACTGTGCCCTGGAATAATGAGGATCCATCTGGCTGAGGAATTGGATTACCAAGACTGCCACAGAGGATTGGATTGATTCCAATATTCCTTTACTAGGCACGCAACATTGAGGCAGCTAGGAGATCCTTCTTATTCTGCAAGGATGAGATCAACGTGGCCAAAGAGCCTCCGTCATCCGAATCCCTCTTGTAATTTGGGGAGTTTTTCAAAATTATGATTTTAACAATAGCAAATGTTGTTGCTGATGTAACAATTCGTATCCAAAACTCATGAGCTTCCAGTCTTCCGCTGTGTAGTTTGTGCTCCCACTACAGGTCATCTATCTTGTGGCACATTATTGTCCTACTGCAGTGGTGGATCAAAAAGCTAATGGTAAAGGACTGGGACCTGATGAGAAGTGCAAAACAAATAAATTCCACTGAAATAAAGATTGAGAAGGGATGTGATTGGGGGTTTCAAAAGTTCTTAACAAGCACAACAAGGTAAAAAGGGAAAATTTATTGCCTCTAGTTGGGGAACGGGTGACTAGGGAGCACAATGTTAGGATTGTTAGTGGAGAATCAGTGAGAGGAAGGAAGCTCTTTGCTCAGAGACTTGTCATGAGTTGAACTCCGGGCGGAGGGATTCTGGGATGAAGTTCCATAGGGTGGAAGCAAAAAAGCTGAAGGT